AGTGCTCCTCTAGGGGAGAGTCCTGCTTATTGTGTGTCAAGTTCTGAAGATCAGTGTAGGTTGATAGGCTACTTTGGCTCCAAGACTAACCTAAGCTTTGTTTGCTACTGATCATCTGTATTGGATCGGGTGCAAAGAGATCATTTTAAATGCACACCATTTTAGGGTCAGATCTTCCACCTACACCCATTTATGCCAGCTGAGAATCAGGTTCTTTAATATGAAGTTTTAAGAGATAACATTTCAGTTGGCCGAGGAAAACAAAAGGACAAAATTTTGCTTGTACATCTCCATAGCAAATCTCAACTCAATGACACATTCTGCAATGTATTTCAGTACTAAGTAGTGTTTCCATCTCTCTGTCTTTCTAATGTGACTGTCCTGTGGTGAGAGAGGCCCATCGTATGACTCCTGTGATAATTCACAGTTCTCATGCTTGAGTCAAAAGGACTCAAGGCAACTTCTTAAACATGTAAAAGTTGGGGATGCTGAAGTTTGAAATCAGAGTTGAAATATCTTGTCTGATTAAGGGATTTTTCAATCAACGAAACAATCTAGTTCTGAAGCAAATATGAAAGGGACGCGTATTACTCTTGATCCTCTCACACACTGTGTAGACATCAATGAGAATTGTGTGTGTGGTTCAAAGACCGTAAGTAACCTTAAACATATAGCTATCTAGCTATCTTCAAGACACCACTGACTTCCTGAGGAAACTACAATCCTTTGGTGATCTTCCAGAAAACACCGTCCTAGCCACTATGGATGTAGAAGCCCTCTACACCAATATTCCACACAAAGATGGACTACAAGCCATCAGGAATAGCATCCCCAATATCATCACGGCAAACCTGGTGGCTGAATTTTGTGACTTTGTCCTCACCCACAACTATTTCAGATTTGGGGACAATTTATACCTTCAAGTCAGCGGGACTGCTATGGGTACCTGCATGGCCCCTCAGTATGCCAACATTTTTATGGCTGACTTAGAACAACGCTTCCTCAGCTCTTGTCCCCTTACGCCCCTACTCTACTTGCGCCACATTGATGACATCTTCATCATCTGAACCCATGGGAAGGAGGCCCTTGAGGAATTCCACCAAGATTTCGAGGAATTCCACCCTACCACCAACCTCAGCCTGGACCAATCCACACAAGAGGTCCACTTCCTAGACACTACAGTGCTAATAAGCGATGGTCACATAAACACCACCCTATACCGGAAACCTACTGACTGCTATACTTACCTACATACCTCCAGCTTTCATCCAGACCACATCACACGATCCATTGTCTACAGCCAAGCTCTAAGATACAACCGCAGTTGCTTCGATTCCTCAGACAGAGACAAACACCTACAGAATCTCTATCAAGCATTCTTAAAACAGCAGTACCCACCTGGTGAAGTGAAGAAACAGATTGACAGAGCCAGAAGGGTACCGAGAGGTCACCTACTACAAGACAGGCCCAACAAAGAATGTAACAGAATGCCACTAGCCATCACCTACAGCCCCCAACTAAAACCTCTCTAGCGCATCATTAAGGATCTACAACCTATCCTGAAGGACGATCCCTCACTCTCACAGACTTTGGGAGACAGGCCAGTCCTCGCCTACAGACAGCCCCTCAACCTGAAGCAAATACTCACCAGCAACTACAAACCACACAACAAAAATACCAACCCAGGAACCAAACCCTGCTACAAACCCCAGTCCCAACTTTGTCCACATATCTATTCAAGGGACACCATCATAGGACCTAACCACATCAGTCACACCATCCGGGGCTCGTTCACCTGCACATCTACCAATGTGATATATGCCATCATGTGCCAGCAATGCCCCTCTGCCACGTACATTGGCCAAACCGGACACTTTCTACGCAAAAGAATAAATGGACACAAATCTGACATCAGGAATCATAACATTCAAAAACCAGTAGGAGAACACTTCAGTCTCTCTGGTCACTCAATAACAGACCTAAAAGTGGCAATTCTTCAACAAAAAAACTTCAAAAACAGACTCCAACGAGAAACTGCAGAACTGGAATTAATTTGCAAACTGGATACCATCAGATTAGGCCCGAATAAAGACTTGGAGTGGTTGGGTCATTACAAAACCTAAACTTAATTTCCCCAATACTAATTTCTCCCTACTGTTACTCACGCCTTCTTGTCAACTGTCTATAATGGGCCACTCTCTTACCACTTCAAAAGTTATTTTTCCTCCCTTGGTATCCTGCTGTTAATTGAATTGTCTCGTCAGACTGACCTCACACTTGGTAAAGCAACCCCCATCTTTTCATGTATTTATAACTGCTCCTGTATTTTTCACTTCATGCATCTGATGAAGTGGGTTCTAGCCCATGAAAGCTTATGCCCAAATAAATTTGTTAGTCTCTAAGGTGCCACAAGGACTTCTCTTTGTTTTTGCTGATACAGACTAACACAGCTACCACTCTGAAACAGTTCAGTGACATGAGGTTTACATTATGTAATTATAGTGGACCCTATTAAAAAGTTTGCTATCAGTTGCCACACAACAATATCACATACCACCATATTATCCTATACTTATCGCTGTGATACATGAGCCAATCACCTATTTTAAATATAGGCAAAGTAGTGTGGTATCTGATATCATTTTGTGCTGGCTGTGGGTAAAGGATAACTCCTTAATGGTGATCACTGTACTGAAAAATAAAAATGTGTTCATTTTTAGCTCTGCTTTATTAGGCTATTCTTTCTATTACAAAAACATCCATTGTGGAGTGAATCTTGTACAGGTGTCGTTTCTGCATCCCTGGCTCTAACATCCTGGTTGTTTCCTTAGCTTGTATTGATTCTTCCCTAAGCACAAAAAAAACTCATCCCCCCCCTCACCCCCCCGCCCCTGGAGCGCCACTTTACCGCGTTATATCCGAATTCGTGTTATATCAGCTCGCGTTATATCGGGCTAGAGGTGTACATGAAGTCGCTCCTGCTTTGCACCAGTATGGGTGAGCTCAGAATTGGCCCTGGATGTGCATTTGTAAGGTGGCTGGCACCGAAGTGTTCACAGTGTTTGAATGTGTATTGTTTCATGCGCCGTTCTACTTCTCTCACTTTTGTTGGTGTGGTACGGAGATATGTTTTAATTTTAGCTATGGAAAAATAACCTGGGGAATGATGGGATGAATGGGGCGTGGGGGTAGGGAGTGGTCAGAGAGGGTTCTGTTATGTAATACTGAATTGAACAGTTAGATGACAAAGCATTTCACACAAAAGCACTTGAAGTGCCATTCTTTTGTTATGGTTAAATGCACTGGTGCAAATTTTTGACAGTTCCACTAGTTTTGCTAAAAAGGGGATAATAGAATGCCAAGCAAGTACTAATTTTTCCTTTGCCCCATCCTAAACATACATAACCTCAGCAGCGCTCTGTGTGGAGCCACTTGGCTCCCCACTGAAAATGCAGACTTAGGCATCATTAAGTACTTTTGTGCTCCAAGGCAAAAGTATGTCAGTACAACTCTCTCATCAATCAGGCATCCAAATGTTTATCATGGGCTAGAGCTGTGTGAACCCTGCAGGACTCAGTTTGTTTGGGATTCCCAAGCTGAATCCTGCAGCTTTGATTGGCAGGGGCAGGCAGCAAAACAACCCCTGTCGGCTTGCGTGGAGAATTGGGGTTCAATAAACTCAATATGTTCCATTGCCCTCACTGTGTACCCTCGTATCTCTCACCTCTGGCTTTTTGAGCGTGTGTCAGGTGGTCACTGGCTTGGCCTAAAGCAGCCCAGAAAGGAGCTTCAGGCCATTCAGAATATGTCATTTCCCCAATCCACAAAGACTCTTCTGAGGGACAGGACCTTCTTTGACCCCCATGTTGTGGCATGGAGTCATAAGCCTGCAGCTTCTACTACTTTTGAGCTGGAACTGAAGGAAGCCCTATATTTCTTTTAATGGTCTTACAGGGCACAGTTGTTTGGAAATGCCTAGGGCTCCCTGTCTAATGCACAAGGCATTATGGGGTTTCTGTCAGCCTCAGCTGAGCAGAATGTGAGGCTGGCAGCAGCAAGCCTGAACAGCTAATAGTCAGCACTCCCTTCTGTTCAGTGGAAGGAAGAACTTGATGGCTCTAAATTCCTGACTTCATGTGTTCTAATGTGAAGAGTGACCGTAGGCATATCATTTTGGGGTTCCATGTCTCAGTAAATTTAATACAAATGTGTTTAATACACAAGTAAAAACTAATTTTTTTTTTCTAACTTCCAGTCATAAAGCTGGGATCTGAAAGTAATGCTGGGTCTTTATCTTGCATCATCATCAGTATATTGCCTCTTTATCATCAGTAATACATTGCCTAGGCTAAATTATGCCCTTAATTACGTTTGTGAAGCATTATTAGATTGCCTTGTGAGGTTGCACAGGTATAAACAAGGGCCTAATTTGAACTGCAGTATTTTTTTTTCTGAAGATGATGCATTAGAAGGACACAGTCTGATAAGTTTGTAGCATTGGGAGTTTAGAGGAAAAGACAACCCACCTACCCTCCCACAACAGCAATTGGAGCAAATTTCAATGCCATAAAAATCCACACCATCCTTTTTAGTCCCTTTTTGGAGCGGGGTTCCATTTTAATAGAGGTTGATGACATTAAATCCATGGCCATTCACCATGGATTTTAATTTTGTTTCAGGTACAAAACTCCTGGGGCTGCTTAGATCGGGGGGGTCCCAAAATCAGAAGCTGCCCACTGGGCTCTCTCCATGACAAAAAGTAGATGATGGAGGGATATTCATTTTGATCTATCTCTAATCTTGAGGAATGTTGCACATTCCTAACTAATTACAGTTATTAGATAGCAGGAAACGCAATAGAGAGGTGGTATAGTTTTTCATGACAATCTGCGCTTACACTTCATTTATACTGATTTAATGCTTGTAAAGGTGGCTGGACAGTAACTGCCCATTCTGTATGTGTCCATCCTTGTTTCATGCTGCTTTCTTTCTCCCCACAGTTTGCCAAGGAACAAATAACAAGCTGACCCAGCTGGGGAACATGGAGGACCATTTCACCAGCCTGCAAAGGATGTATAACAATTGTGAGGTGGTGCTTGGCAATCTGGAGATCACATATGTGACACATGATCATGATCTTTCATTCCTGAAGGTTAGTGTAGCTAATCACATTGCTCTGATCCAGCACACAATGTGCATTGGTGAGATGTGCACAACCTCAAGAGAGGTTAACTCCTAACCGAGATATTTTTCTAGTCTGATGAGTTACCTGTTTAAGGAATTGAATTGTTTTTGAAGGTGAAGGGTCAGATATATATAAAATGTGGTGACAAATGTAAAACCTGTTCAAACACATAGTTACTGATTGTCAATTAGAGACATCACAGAATGGAATTCTAAAATACCGGTCTACCCTAGGATACACTGTACTTGTATCAATGATTTCACAGCACCTAGCAAGCAGTTTTTCTCATGCTCATCACCCACTGCTCAAAAGTAATTATTTTAAATGGGAAAAGTATTGCACTCCTGTTCCCCTTCCCCCCCATGCTCCCAAGGAAAATGAAAAAGCTCTGCACTGTGCCCTAAAGATAACCAAATTTGAGGGTTGTCAGACCAGTGAAGCAAACTGCAGTGTTGATGGCTCCTCACTGAAAATGACCTATCATTAGCTGGAGCATTCTACTGCCTTGGTGATACCTGGTAAAAGATGTAATCTCCCTAATAACTAGAAACCAAGACATGTAACATCACCATCCATCATTACTTGTGCAATATGTTCCTGCACCAAGTAAGCCAGCTGCGTTCTGTCCAGACAATAATTTTGAGTGACCTTCAAGGATAATCCTAGACAATAATGCATGAACTACTTTCCATTACTACATTTGTCTCGTGCTCATGTCCATGCACAAGTGAATGAACTATTGTTCGGAGGGAATGGAAAAGAAAGGGACATAAATATTTTACTGGATGTATTGAAAAAAGTGCTTTCTGGCATGGCGCAACCAGATAGCACAGGAAGGTTGTGGAACAGCTGGGAGTAGAACCAGGGCCGGCTCCAGGGTTTTTGCTGCCCCAAGCAGCAAAAAGAAAAAAAGAAAAGAAAAAAAAGCCGTGATCGCAATCGCGATCTCTACTGCCGCCGCGTCAGTCTTCGGCAGCAATTCGGCGGCTGGTCCTTCACTCCTAGAGGGAGTGAGGGACCCACTGCCGTATTGCCGCCGAAGAGCCGGACATGCCACCCCTCTCCGTTGGCCGCCCCAAGCACCTGCTTGCTGGGCTGGTGCCTGGAGCCGGCCCTGAGTAGAACTCAGCTCTCCTGACTGCCAGTTTGATACCTTACACACTAGATCAATGGTTCTCAAACTGTGGGTTGGGACCCCAAAGTGGGTCATGACCCCATTTTAATGGGGTTGCCAGGGCTGGTGTTAGACTTGCTGGGGCTGAAGCCTGAGCCCCACTGCTCAGGGCCAAAGCCTGAGCCCCACCACCCGGGGCTCAGGCTTCGGCTTCAGCCCTGGGCTGCGGGGCTCAGGTTACAGGCTCCCTGCCTGGGGATGAAGCCCTTGGGCTTTGCTTTGGGGCCCCCCTTCCCAGGATGATGGGGCTCGGGCTTTGGCCCCTCTGCCGGGAGCAGCGGGGCTCGGATGGGCTCAGGCTTCAGTCCACTCTCCTGGGGTCATGTAGTAATTTTTGTTGTCAGAAGGGGGTCGCGGTGCAATGAAGTTTGAGAAGCCCTGCACTAGATCATCCTTCCTCAGATTTGTGCTTTTGAAATAATGTGTTTTCAATATTCAGTTTATTTCGTGCTTGGTTATCAGGTTACAATATTTTTGAATGCAGAGAGATTATGGGAGTAATTATATCAAATGTAGCTCACCTGTGTGTAAAAAATAAAGAGCTGTGGGTTACCAGAGATGCATGGGTGGGTCACTGATCTGAGTTCTGAGGTGATAATCTCTTCAAATGAATCTTGTTTTCCTCTCAGCAAACAGCTTAGAGAAACAGCTTGACACAATGACACTTAATATTTTGTTCCTTCTGATTTTCCTCAGACCATACAGGAGGTTGCAGGCTACGTGTTAATAGCACTCAACAATGTGGATAGCATTCCACTGGACAATCTCCAGATCATCCGAGGAAACGTGCTTTTTGAGAACTTTTACGCACTGGCAATTTTATCCAATTATCACACAAATATAAATAAAATCAGTGGACTCAAGGAGCTGCCAATGAAACGGTTATCAGGTGAAGTGGTGGGGCAGACAATGTGGTTGTGAACTGTTACTTTATTTGAAGGAAACTCCCAGATCTTTATGAAAAGCTTCATTTAAGAAGCATTGACCTTTAGAGTCCTGTTCCAAATGAGACACTCTGAAGGAAGTTAAATGTAGTTTATTCAAATACCTGCCCACTTTATAACTACCCAGGTTACTGATAGTGATGGAAAGTTCCTTGTTTTACAATGCATAGGCCTAGGACCTCCGGGGGTTAATCCACTTAGGCCCTATAGAATTGCAGAGTAATGAATGTTGGCCCAAAACAGAGATGTTTTTTGTGCCAATTTGAGATGCCTTAGAGGGGGCTTGATTTTCAGAAAGTGTTGAGAACCTCAAAGTGCTTCAATCTGAACACCCAGAAATGGAGACACCGAGAATCACAACTCACTCTTGAAAATTTCAGCCACTTGGTTTTGACACCCAGTTTTGCATTTTGTGCACATCCATAATTTCTATTGGCTTCACTTGGGGGGAAGAGGGTTGGATGTGCAAAGGCTGCAGTACTGGACCCTTATTCGACAGTTAGTTATGCCTTCTTTCAAGTGTAATAAGATATTGTAGAATGTCCTTTTCCATTAACATGGCATCTGATGAGTGTGTTTATCTCCTTTTCATGAAGGAAGAAAGAGAGCGATCATGCAATTGCTTCATTTTTGTCCTGTTTTTCTTTTGCAGAAATTCTTAATGGAGGAGTTAAAATCAGCAACAATCCACAACTGTGCAACATGCACACAGTTCTGTGGGACGACATTATTGATTTGAACAAAAACGTTGTAATGCTGTTGGAAGATCAAAATAATCTGTCTAATTGTAAGTATACATTTAACAAAACTGTAGTCACTCTATTACAGACAGCAGCACCATCAACCTACTTATTGCATTATAGAGCCCCATTTCTGCAAACACTTTTATGTAAATGCATTGACTTCAAATCCTACTCACATAGAAATTAATTATATTTTGTTATTGAATTTACTAGGACCAAGATTTGGACCTAAGAGACTGATCCAAAGCACACTGAAGCCAGTGGATTGGCTCCCATTGATATCAGTGGGCTTTGGGTTGGGCCTTAAATGTGTGCTGCTTCCATGAAAATGACACACATCAATATAACGCATACACATTTTCTTTCCAATGATTTTAAATTTACAGCGCAAGGCCCTGATTCAGCAAAGCTCTTAAGCGTATGCTTAACTTTAAGCATGTGGGTACTCCCAAGGTGCTTACATGCGTTGCTGGGTTGAGACCCTAATTCCTATTTGTGAATATCATGAACTCTACACATGGTTTGACAGTATTAGGAAATCTTTGCAAAAATGAAGACCAGAAATGGATAAATAGCGATACTTTAGATCAGCATGGAGGTAGGTGTAGATTTGAAAGCTTACATGACATGTACCCATGCTTATATCTGACCCAAGCTAGTACTGTTAATCCTTTGTAAGATCTAAATTCAGCTCACAAAATTTTAAGAGGGGAGAAAAGAGTTTGTTTTAATTCTTGGGCATTTTTGGCACTACAGATTGGCACAATGTGTATTTTCTGATCTACTTCAGTTGAGTAATTGACTAAGCACTAGCAGGCACACACTGTTGACATACACTCTGGAACCCCACTGCAGTCAATGGGATTGCAGGAGGTGTAAGTCAGCAGAGCTTGGCCCTGAGTACTATGGAAATTTTAACCTTTAACTTTTAAACTTGAATCCCTTTGGCCCAACAGTAAATCAGTCAGTTATTAGACAAGTATTGACACTTGTTCAGCTATTTTGGCAGTGAGGGGGTTGGAAAGAGCCACGTGTTATGAGCTGGACAAAACTGTCCTAGAAAGAAATACTCCTTAAATGTAGTGAGTTTCAGATTAATCTGTTCAGGCAGCCATTTTTCTTTTTAAATAATGAGCATGCAAGATAATTGTGTCCCTGGGATTTTACCTGTCATTAGAAAACAAACAAAAATAAAAAGCAAAACAAAGCAACAAAAACAACAATAAAAAAATAAGGGGGTAGGGATAATGACTGGAAGGCCTGTACTAACTTTACAGATCAGTTAGTTTGTTCAGTGGTTTGAGCATTGGCCTGCTAAACCCAGGGTTGTGAGTTCAATAACTGAAGAGGCCACTTAAGGATCTGGGGCAAAATCAGTACTTGGTCTTGCTAGTGAAGGCGGGGGCTGGACTCGATGACCTTTCAGAGTCCCTTCCAGCTCTATGAGATAGGTATATCTCCATATATTATTATTTTACCCTTACTTGTTTTCATTAATTGTATGTGTGCTGCATAGTTCAGTGCTGAGAACTACTTTTGTCAGAGCTGTGGAAACAAAAGTAATTAAGTCAGGGTACAAATTACCCTGTGGTTTGAGTAAATGTCGCCAATCGTTTGCAAATACAGTCATATTTGTTTTGTTGTCAGCGATGTATTATTCAAAAACATTGATTTACATGACAAATTACTGTCTGGCCATGAGCTCTAACCATACAGAGTTTCAAGGTGAGGAGCCCAGTTAGTCTTTCAGTTTTTAGTTCCCAGAGATGATGTACTCGTTTCATGTTCCATTCTGCCCAGTTCTAGATGCAGATTGCAGATACACATGCTCTTCAAGTTAGGGCTCTAATTCTACCTGCTAACTGACTACCTACACATCTACAGTATCAATAGCAAACACTAATTGGCAAGTTCTTAGTTTTATTTATTTTATATAAGAAATTTTAAAAATTTAGAATTCTGATTTTTCCTTCAGAAAATCAGCTTTGTTAATTCAGCATTATATACAGCATTCTTAACTGAGGTAATAGTCCAATAACATATACATGTGGCTGAAAAGTTTCAGCTAAAAAGGTTGAGCTACTTCTGAGAACAAGATTAGGGAAAAATAAGTAATTTTGGTTTTGTTATAATAATTCTTTCAACCATTTTGTTGAGAAACTCCATACTTTGGAGCAGGCATTTGAAAGTTGTCAGGGAATTGGGGGTGCCTTGATGTCAGGAATGTGCCTTTTGCCATCCCTCTGAACATTCATCCAAATTTAGCCAAGTTATTTATAAGCCTCTGAAAAATCACAGTTCACACATGCTCAGAAGAGGCTTGATATAGTATGACAGCCATATTCTCTGTACTGGACATGCTCCATCTCCTTACAACTCCTGTGTGCCAACCAGACTCTGCATGTGCCATCCCCTAAAGCAGGGGTCTCAAACACGCAGCCCGCGGACCGCATGCGGCCCGTGGGGTTCTTTCGTGCGGCCCGCCAAGCTCCCCACGGTCCCCCGCCGCCTACCCCGTGCCGCCACGAGCCCCATGCTGCTCCCTGAAGCGGCCTAACTACTGTATGTCCCTGCAGCCCCAGGCAGGGGGGTGGGAGGCGAGTAGAGGGCTCCGTGCTCTTGCAGCTCCCATTGGCCGGGAACTGGGAACCGCGGCCAATGGGAGCTTTGGGGGAGGTACGTGGAGGATCAGCAAGAGCAGCACATGGTGCCGTTTCCCCTCCCCCTCCCAGGGACTCCAGCTGCTTCCTGGAGTGGAGCGGAGCGGGGCCGGGGACAGGGCAGGCAGGCAGGGAGCCTGCCCTGGCCGCGGTGCGCAGCGCTGCCACCCCGGATCCACTCTAGGTAAGCGGTGCCGGGCCGGAGCCCAGACCCCCGCACCCCTTCTGCACCCCAACCCCCTGCCGCATCCCACACCCCTCCTGCACCCCAACTCCCTGCCCTGAGCCCCCTGCCACACCCTGCACCCCTCACCCCTCCTGCACCCCAACCCCCTGCCTGGAGCCCCTTGCCACACACTGCACCCCAACCCCCTGCTGCACCCCTCACACCTGCACCCCAACTCTCTGCCCAGAGCTCCCTGCCACACCCTACACACCTCCTGCACTCCCTGCCCTGAGCCCCCGCCGCACCCTGCACACCTCCTGCACCTCAACTCCCTGCCCTGAACCCCCTCCACACCCCACACCCCTCCTGCACCCCCTGGGGGCAGGGAGGGGGCAGAGTTGGGGTGAGGACTTCAGGGAAGGGGTTGGAATGGGGGCAGGGAAGGGGCGAGAAGAGGTGAGGCGGGGCAGGGGCAGGGCCTCATGGAAGGGGTGGAGTGGGGGCGGGGCCGGGGCAGCAAGTGGGGGGTGTCAGTGATGCGGCCCTCGGGCCAATGCACTAGTCCTCATGCGGCCCTCGAGGTCATCTGAGTTTGAGACCCCTGCCCTAAAGTAACTGAGCCCCGGTCTACAGTACAAACTTATGTGAGTATAACTATGTTTCTCCAGGGTGTAGAAAATCCACACCCCTGAGTGATGCAGTTATATTGACCAAACTCCTGGTGTAGACAGTGCTGGGAGGGCTTCTCTTGTCAACACAGCTACCAGTGTGGAGTACTTATGGTGACAGGACTGTCATGCTGTCTGGAGTGGCTCACAAGTGTGAGTGCCTGTCTCAGGGCAGACTGTCAGAAAACAAGGGCAGATACCCCAGACTGGTGGTATATTCTATTATTAGATTTCACCAAGCCAATAACAAGCGTGAACTCCTGGATCACTATACCAGTCTTACCATGGAGTCACAGACAGTCCCCTTAGCCTCTCCAGCCTAGCTCGTCACCCAGACAAACTGAACTTAGTGATGATGGTCACATAAACCAAAAATCACACCCCATCAGGTTTCTCCCAGTCCCAAATGACCAGTCACTTACTCCCAGATCAGCTGGTACTCAGAATCTTACACCAAAGACCTCGCTGGCAGCCAATTCTATAGTAAACTAACTATAGGTTTATTAGCTAAGAAAAAAGAATGAATTATTGAGAGGTTAAAGCACGTACAATATAATAACAGGTGAGTCAAAGTTTGTAAGTCCAAAATGATAGCAGAGATGTAGTAATCTTCCAGTTTCCCAAAAGTCTTTTCCAGGGCTACCCAGAATAATTCTGGAGGTCTCCGTCTACTCGTTCAGTTATTCTATCCTGTTAGAATCCAAACAGTCTAGAGATAAAGGATCTTCCTTTGAATCAGTACTGATAGCTTCTTTTCACAGACAACAATCTGACAAGTATCTGAACCCACACAATGGTCAGTTACTTTGAATTTAGCACTCCTCTTCATTTGCATTTGATGAGTTATTTAGTTAAATGCCTGCCGTTACATTATAATAGGAGTAGATAAGTGAAAACAATACAAGTAACATTCCATTAGTTTTCATGAAATTCTAACACCTGATTACACTCTTACATTAACACACACTTTTATCTAGGGTTATTTAATTATCAGGCATGCTTAATGTAATGTAATAGTAAACAATAGGATATAGATAGGCAAAAGCAATACAATTAACATCTCCTTTGATCCCTATTAACACACAAGTGAATTGGCCTGACTATATACTAATACATTTAACTCCTTTGATATTCACCCACAAATGAATTGGCCTATGTCTCTGACCTGAGCTAGTCTGTCAGTGTCATAGGGAGAAACTCTCCTGTCGGCATAGGTAGCGTCTTCACTAAGCACTCCAGCACTGTAAGTGTAGATGAGCCCTGAGTATTCTCCAGCCCAGAGCTTCAGGGGCTAAGCAGAAGTTTCCTTGCAAGTTTCCCAGGTCCTGTGAGCCACTATGGTGCCTACCACTGGAACCTAGAGCAGGTAGACTCTCTCTCTCTCTCTCTCTCTCTCTCTCGCTCTCCCCTGTGCCCTCAATGCCCCCCCCTGCTGGAACCTAGGCAGTGTGAAGCAGTAAGAGGAAGCAACCTGACTTAAATGTAGAGGGGGAAGAGCAGGAGGTAGTGGAGCTGGGGGTGAGGAGCAGGACAGGCCCAGAGAGGCCCAAGGAGAATAAGAATAGAGGGAGACTGATACAGGAGCTGGTGGGGTGGAGAGGGATGTGAACAGAAAGGGACAAAGTTAGGAGTTGGGGATGGAGAGGAGCAGAGAAGGACAGAGACAGGTAGGTGGTGACAGGGAAAGAAGGGTTTGTAACCAGTAAATTACACTCCCCTCCAAAGCCTGGAATAGAATCCAGTCTCAATATTTCTCTGCTGTCAGCAAAATAGTTATGAAATCCACTGGCAGTGTGTCTCTCCTCCTTCTCTAGTGGCTGATCCACATAAAGAATAACTGCCTACTAGTACCATTACACCATTAGCTCAAGCAATAGAGGTATGTGCTGTAGATTGAATATCCCAGCCCTGCCAATGACCTATGCTGGGGTCACTCTGGTTCCCTATGATAGAATTTCTGTTTTTTCAATTTGCTTCTTTAAAAACATAGGGAATCACATACAAGAAGAGTATGTTAGAAGAAAGTTACAGTGGTAAAGTCAAGCAATCAAACATTAGGAAATGCCAGACTTAAGATGTTGTTCCATCTCCCTCGTGCTCCACCCTTCCTGCCGCCCCTCCACCCATATATGCATACGCATTAAGATGCAATTAATTACAGGATCATATACGTTTTTTCCACAGGACCCCTGCCTCATTCAGTACACAGGATGGACAGTGCTTACTGAATGGGTATCTATTTCTTGTTTATTTTTATCCTCATCATTCAGTGTGTGGCACAGAAGCTCTCCTGTAGCTGTAGTAACAGGCACATGGTGGATATGTTGTGACTGAAAGACTAAGATTCAGTTCCTGACAGCCCTGGTGTGTTATCTAACAATTGCATGTTACATCATAAAGGTTTTCCAATCAATGTAACATTTACATTTTAGGTTCCAAGTGTCATGCAAATTGTACAGAAGATCACTGTTGGGGTGCCGGCATAGAGAACTGCCAGACATGTAAGTCCAGAGATTAATTTAAAATATCCTTGACTGTATGCTTTTAGGTATTTGTTTGTTTATTATTCACTGAATAATGTCCCTGTCAAGTCCTGATGTGATGGCCAGTGTTTTATGGAAAACACTGTGCCCACCGCAGACATGGGTGGCATGCTCCCCTAGCAATCCATCAGGTATCTGAGTGATTGTTAATAATGATCCTTGCAGTAGTAACTTCCACTATGTTTTTGCATATGCACGCATTGCTCTTCTTGTATAGCAAACAAAAGCCATTGCAGCTCCTCATTGAGCGGCCACATAGTGGAGAGAAAGGGGGCCTGGTGAACAGCACAGAAACCCCAAAATAATTTGGACTGGACTGAGATTTCTCCATGAATGCTCAGTCTTTGCGTGACACTTTCAGTTTTGGAAGCACTTTTCCTGCCTCTCTTAGCTTTTCCCCAAAATATAGGCCTTAGTAATTATAAAGGGATAATGAAGTAGCTGTAATGTGAATTTTCTCCACTTCTGTTGTTTCAAGTAGAATGACTGTGTATTAACATTCAAACTCTTACATAATATTTTAGGCTGAGAATGGGAATAACTCACCACTACTGTGTTGTTGTTTTTTAAATCCCCTTTGTAGAATCCCTTCCAACATGAATACCAGATAGTCAGAAAAGGTCACACTCGTATACCCTGCAGGCATATAAAGCAAGTCCTGACCACTCTCAGAAAATGAAGTGATGGCCTTTAAAGGGTGCATGGCTCAGGGGATTCACAGCATGGGAGAGGTGTCCTAATTATTTATAGAGCACTTCGGAATCCTTAGGCAGTCCCGTCACTCATAGGCTGAGCACCCTTTACCCTGTAATTTTGCACATTGGATGCTTACTATGGGCATCAAGAGAACAACAAACACAAGATGTTTAGAGACACTTAAAGTTCTTGTGAGGATTTTACTTTTCAGTATATAAAGACTGATGGGGAATGTACTTTGAATACTTTGTTTCTTTTGATAGTTTATTATTTCACTGCTTTATAATATGTGTAGCTAGTCTGCATTCAGGGAAATGCTATGGGTCCTTATTCTTCTCTCATACCAGCTTTACACTAGCATAATTCCACTGAGTTCAGTGGAAGTACTTCTGATTTAAATCTACATAAGTGACAGCAGAATCCAGCCCTACAAATGTATTTAAATCTGAGCATCTTGCTCACAATTCAGGTATCAGGTCAGATCTACATAGCTTCTAGAGCAGGTTGGAAAAAACCACTCAAATATTCCTCTCCCCCACCCTCATTTTTTCATCAGTTTCAAAACTTTTCAACCAGCTCTAATGGCTTCACTCCTCAATCCTTCACAGCTGCTCATAAAACACCCTATGCTGGATATTGTGGGACAAATTCTGCAGTTACTCTGTGCACATTGATGTAAATAGTGGTTCCACGTGCAAAGCACTTGCAGAATCATGTCCACTGTTAACATGGTGTCCAGAGGTAATACTAACCTTTAGGCTTAAGAAATTTAGATCCTGATCCTGCAAACATTTACGCATGTGCTTAATCATACATATTGTGAATAGATTTATTGACTTCAATGGGGTTACTCAAGGGTGTATAAAGTTAAGCATGTGTACATATGTGTTTGCAGGATGGGGCTTATTTAGCAATTAACACTCATTTTGTTAATGAAATTGGCCCATCAGAAATGCATCCCATATGTGGGAAATTTTTATGTCCGATTTCTTTCCATCCTTGAAAAAATGTGGATGATACTGCACAAAACATAAACATTTATCATGATATACTTCCAGTGGGAAGCTTTTGTCAATTGTTCTCAGAACGATGAGCTGTTTTACACCCCTGCTGATGCTTACGAAAATGATATGAAAACTCTGTTGTTGTAAAACAATGTGTCTTTTATCCCACTGTTTCTGGTTATGTGGAGGAGTTGCTGCTACACCAGTTATGTGTATTTTGGAGATACTACATTTTCAAGGAAACATATTATTTGGTTACAAATATGAGATCACAAAATAATAAAGCTTAGGTGCAAAAGTTTAACAGAAAGAAAACGTAAATAATAACAAATTAAAACAAAAAAATAGAAGAGAAAAGAAACAAGCCTATACTGGTTGATTACCCTGTAGCAGAGTGCCATTCTCGGATGATTTAAGTGTTAACTGTGATTGAACTGCAGTGTGACTATTTCTGAGTTACAAGAATTTTTAAAATATTTTAACTACTCTGTGCCCATTTGGGAACTTCATAGTTGACACCATGCTGCACACCAGTCGTTCTCAACCAGGGGTCCGAGGCCCCTTGGGGGTGGGAGGCGCGAGCAGGTTTCAGGGGGGCTGCCAAGTAGGGCCAGCATTAGACTTGCTGGGGCCCAAGGCAGAAAGCCAAAGCCCTTCCACCTGGGGCTGAAGCCCAGGCCCTGAGCCCCGCCACCCAAGGCTGAAGCCGAAGCCTGAGCAGTGTAGCTCTGCGGGGGCCCCTGTGGCATGAGGCCCCAGGCAATTGTCCTGTTTGCTACCCCTGCCAGCCCTGGCTTTTACATGCAGAAAACCAGCTATTATTCCACAGGTGGGCTGTGGAGTTTTTATAGCATGTTGGGACAGGCCTCAGAAAGAAAAAGGTTGAGAACCCCTGCTGTACACTGTGACCACTCAGCGGGTTAGAAATCAAATCCTCCTGCTCAAAAAGCACAGGCACCTCCCCGCGGAATCTAAGGAAAATCAATTCGCTGTGAAGGATGCATAGTTGAGCAGTTCTGGTTCTGTCCTTCCCAGGGCAGTAGTGCAAACCCACATTAGTCAATGATTGATTTTTTTTCACTATTCTAGTCCAGATGATTTTGATACTAAAAAATTGTTGCAGGTGATTGCTTTGGTATTAGAAACAGCTTCTGGTCCAAAATTTTCCTCTCGGTTATATTGGCGCAAACCGTATGGGAGCTGCATAACAAAGAGGAAAACTTAGCCCAAGTTCCTGGAAGCAGCCGGCTGCTGCTGGCAAGTCTCTGCACGTCCCTGGTGGAGGGGGAGGCGGCTCCGCACACTGCCCCCGCCCCCAGCGCCACCCTCACAGCTCCCATTGGCCGGAAACCGGCCAATGGGAGCTGCGGGGGCGGTGCTTGTGGGCGCGGGCAGTGCACAGAGACTCACTGTCCCCCTCCCCCCAAGGGGCACACAGAGACGTGCCAGCAGCAGCCAGCCGCAGCCGCTTCTGGTAGCAGCGTGGGACCACAGTATGCAGGCAGGCAGCCTGTCTGAGCCTGCTATGTCACCGGCCGGGAGCCGCCTGTAGTAAGCGCCTCCCCCAGTCAGAACCCCCTCCTGCACCCAAACTCCCTCCCAGACTCTGCACCCCAATCCCCTGCCCCAGCCCGGAGCCCCCTCCTGCACAAAACTCCTTCCCAGAGCCCACAATCCTCACCCTCTCCTGCACCCCAGCACTCTGCACCAGCCCGGAGCTTCCTCCTGCACCCAAACTCCCTCCCGACCGCGCACACCTCCATTAATATAGTAGAAATGTGCAGCCTGTGACGACTTACCAAAATTTGTGAAGTGGCCCCCCTGCGAAAATTATTGCCCACCCTGACTTAACAGGAACATTAATGACACCAAGAGTATGTACTGTTAATATAAAGCTGGTCTTCCCACCAAGTTGATATCTCAAAGGTAGCACCAACCGATATTTTATTATCTCAGTAAAACTATTAGATACAAAGGTTAAATTCTGCTGTCTTATGCCATTGTAAATTGGGAGTGATTCCACTGATGCCGGTGAAGTTATTCCTGATTTAGCAAGGTGCTGAGCACTGGCCCCTTTCCCACAAAGCATGTAAGCCTATCCTTAACTTTGCTTAACTGTGCTTTTCTGGATCAGGGCCAGAGTGTTCAGTGCCTTGCAGAATTGATGCCTTACTGCAGGGTAATTGAGAGTTGAATTTGGCTCTAATACATTGGTGAGGAAAAGCTCAGAAACTCCCTTCTGGCCTCTCCATCCCACCAATTTCACTTGATGATGAGAGTGGAAACTGGTGTCTCGTGAGAGGCTCTACCCATGTGTTCTTTATCTGGAGTTTTCTCCTTACTTGTCAATCTTGGTTTAGCAAATATGCATTTTAATTCGTTTTTTCTATCTTTCAGTAACAAAAGTCATCTGTGCCCAGCAATGTTCAGGCCGATGCAGAGGAAGGGTGCCCAATGACTGTTGTCATAACCAGTGTGCCGCTGGCTGTACAGGGCCTCGCGAGAGTGACTGCCTGGTAATACTACAGCAACATGTTTAAAGTTCAACAGCAGCAGCCAAGCTTTGGGCTGAATGCACTGTAACTTTTTTTTAATCTTAGGACCCTTGAAAGTGATACTGATCACAAAATATCTTATTAAAATATGTACGGGACAGATTCTCCACCGGTGTAAATCAGTATAGCTCCACTTCAGTGTAGCTATGCCAGTCTACACCAGCTGATGATCTGGTCCATGTATTTCTTACACTTGGCAACAACAGCTTAGAATTTTAAAACAAAGAATTTTAAAAATGAAACTTACTTTTCATAATTTTTAATACCCTTTTTGCATTTCATTTAGTTTAGACCATGAGGATAGATTATGCAATTTCCTTTTTCTGTCTTTCATTTACTAGAACAACTCTGCTAGGGTTCACAGCACTCACAGGGATGGAATCCAGAAAAACCTGTTTACATTAGTTGTTGGCTTTTTTTTTTTTTTTTTAACTGTTGCAGTGTTTCCATTGATGTTCTGTTTTGTGAACCTGTCCCCCTTTTAAAACAAGTGATTCTATTTAGTTTGGGCTTAACACTAAATTAAGTGGAATTCAAGCAACTTCTGTGGAAACGGTCCAGTTTACCTTTGTTTGTTTGGATATATTTGTGTGGCCATTAAAGATGTAAACAAATCACATTAATTATGTTCTTATTGATTCATGGAAGGGAATGTTAATTCTCTCTTCTCAGAAAACCTAGGGAAGAACCAGGGGAGGAAGAAAGATTGTCAACTTGAATGTAGAATTAGCTTTGTAGAAATGACTTGCACTTCATAAATGCCCATTAAATTGCTCGTCGCCTGTAGCCAAGCCTAATGACATTACTTTAATATTTAACTGTCCAGGTCAGTAATTGACTGCAGGGACTTTATTTCATTAATGTTATTAAAAAGTTGCCAGTAAAGAAAACAGCCATTTATCTTGATCTGGTTTCTGATTTCTTAGCTCTGTTCTTGCTATCCAATACATGCAGGCAGAGCCCTGTTTCTAGGTGGAACCCACGGGCACTCCGTACAAGTAGAAGGGTCCACCTCTCAGGAGTCTGGTCCAGTGTTGGAGCCTGGGTTCGTAAGGACTTTGTAATGTAGAAGTTATTTGCATGAGTCCATGAAGACTAAGAAGACAAGATTGCCCTTCACCCTTGGACTATTGAGGTGGACTCTTTCACCTCAATAGCACAAGAGCCCAATCCTGGAAAGTTCTCCATGCCTCAATTAGTGTTAAGAACCTGCTAGATCTGGCAGTAGCAGCCTTATAAAACAGGAATTATACATTTATTGTATCTTCCTTTTTGCTGTAAAAATAGACTGTAGTTTACTTTGCACCATTGTCACATTGTTCAATGGCAGGCATGCCGCAAGTTTCGCGATGAAGCAACGTGCAAGGATACTTGTCCACCGTTAGAGTTGTACAACCCGACCACCTATCAGATGGATGTCAACCCAGATGGAAAATACAGCTTTGGAGCCACTTGCGTGAAAGAATGTCCACGTAAGCTCACTTAAGCCTGCAATCTGGTCAAACCAGGGAAAATAGAGGGTCAAGGAGGCAGCGGGCAGAGGTTGCTATTAGTTCTCTCCCACCCAATTCAGGTCCCCTCAACTTAGTGCCCCCCTCTAGGCCAAGGAATTTCCTCACTCTCCTCAGCTGCTTTTGCTATGGAAACCAGTAGCAGAAAATCAGAAATGAGATGTAGCTGATAAAATACAAACGGCTTAACATTTTTGTATCCATTGTTTTTATTGTTTTTTCAGGGTGGTTTTTGTTTTAATTTTGAAGATTTTAGCTTAGTCTTTACTGGTGAATGCCAAAAAGAAACACTTTATAAAATCCATCGAACTCTCTTATAAGACCTGATCACACTCCCATTGAAGTCAGTGGCAAAACTCCCACTGACTCCAATGGCACAGGGGCAAGCCCATAAATAAAGCGGGGCTGGTTCTTAGTGGGGGCTTACAGAAATCTACTGTTTTTAACACCTATGGTATCACATCCCAAAGCATATGGGTTCTTCTTAGTTCCTGTATTCATTGCCGTGTGTATGTCTGTTGTGTTTTGTTTTTTTTTCTCTCTATTCCCTGTCCATGGTTTTTTAAGAAAATTTATTTAAAGGTAGAGAAGGACCCGAGTCACAGAATTAGGACCTGTATCTGAAGGTCACCATAGCCTATTATAAAGATGGTGTTGTATTATAAAGACTGAGGATGGTTTTGGGAATCAGGAGGTGTTGAGCTCTACTCCTGCTTACAATACTGATTCGCTCTTTGGCTTTAAGAAAGGCCAACTTTCTGTCTCAACTAATACGATGATGATAATAGTTATCCACCCCAGCCCTCCCCTAATTGTGAGGATTAATTTGTTAATGTCTGTAATTTGGTTAGTTAGTGCATTGAACGTAGCAAGCTCTAAGTACACTAATATTATGTGTTTTAATTCACCCCCTCTCTATTCAAAAGTTAAAAGGCACTTCAGCATTTTGTATCAATTAAATGCCTGTTTACAGCATAAATACAAATCCCAAAGCATCTCTCCTTTGTTTCATTGCCCACATTGCATTTCCCTTCCTGTCTTTGCAGATAACTATGTGGTGACAGACCACGGCTCCTGTGTTCGCTCGTGTAATGTCGATTCCTACGAAGTGGAAGAAAACGGTGTTCGGAAATGTAAAAAATGTGACGGGCTGTGTAGCAAAGGTACGGAAAGTGCGCCAAGATATTAATATTTTTAGCGTGAGGAGAATTTACTTGACAAAGCATCCAACCAAATGGGACCCTAATCCTAATTGGAGCCTCGGGGTGCTACTGCAATATAAATATCGAATAATAATATGGAGGCCTAAGCAAGTAGTTTAGCAGGGAAATTAATACTCCAGAGCATGTACTCAAGCTGGCTCACTCAGCCTGTGCAGAAAGTAAATGCTTGTCTTTTGCCTAGCTTGTCTTTCCACCTTCTCCATGCCCTGCTCTTGCCAACCTTTCAACCATGGGAGTACCAGGGCCAGATTAAGGCATAAGCTAACTAAGCTACATCTTAGGGCCTCGCAATATGAGGGGCTCTAAAAAAGAAAAAAAAACTGACTCCATTTCAAAATTTATCAAAATCGGTTGATAAATAAAGGAGATTCTCTCTAAATATAGACATTTTCATTCAAATGTGACACATCTGGCTACACAAATACTCTTACTCTACCCTTACCCTTTAGTAATTGTTCATTATTGACAGGCGGGAGGCCAGGGTTGAGGGAAAAAACAACAATTGCACTTATAAAATTAGTATTTCTACGAGTAAGTCTACCAGTCTCCTAAGGCAGCAGTTCTCAACCGGGGGTCTGTTGCCCCCTGGGGGTCTGTGAGCCCTTTCAAGGGGGCTGCAGGGCCCTGCGTCTGAAGCTCTGATCTCCACTGCCCCCGTGGGGCTGAAGCTGGGAGGTGTGGGGCTGAAGCCCCAATCCCAGGCACCCCCCACGGGGCTGAAGCCAGGAGGCGCGGGGCTGAATCCCTGAGACCATGGGCAGAGTTGGGGACATGGAGGGCATTGCCCCCCCGCACCCTCAAACTGCAGCACGAGAGCACAGCAGTCCCAGGGCAGCTCCACACCTCCCCTCCACAATCTCCTCTCCCCATCCCCTGGCCAGGTCGGAGGCGGGAAGCCAGAGCCAGGCAGTGCGGGGCTGCTGCTGCTCTGGCTGGTGCCATGGAGCAGGCAGCTGCAGCATTCCTTCCTCTCCTGCTCATGCCCCAGGTTGAAGCTGCTCCTCAGTTCCCAGCCCCCTTTGCTCCTGCAGAGGCAGCCTTAAGAGCCCCCCGGGTGGGGAGACTCGGCTCCATGGCTGACAGACACCTCAGAGAACAGGGACCCCAGCACACAGCCCTTATACCCCTCTCCCTACACCCTGAGCTACACCCTCCCTGCACCCTGAGCTACCCCCTACCTGCACACAACCCCAGCTACCCCTATTCCTGCACCCTGAGCTACCCCCTGCCCATACATAGCCTCTAGCCACCCCCCTCCTTGCACCCTGAGCTACCCCCTGCCTGCACACAGCCTCTAGCCACCCCCCTCCTTGCACCCTGAGCTACCCCCCTACCACAAACAACCCCAGCTACCCCCTCCCTGCACCCTGAGCTACCCCCTGCCCATACATAGCTCCTAGCTACGCCCCTCCCTGCATCCAGCCCCAGCTACCCCCTCCCGGCACCCTGAGCTACCCCCTGCCTGCACACAGCCCCCTTCCTGCACCCTAAACTGTTTTCAAACTTTTTGAGCTAAGCCCTAACTTTGAGTTATAACTTTGGTTGCATCCCCCGCTCCCAACCCAGACAGGCTACGTGGCCTGCTGAGGTGAGTCGGGGTGGAGGTTGTGCTCCCTCCCTGGACCCTGCCTTGCAGAGCTGGCTCGAGCCCCGCTGACCCCTGCTCCCCCGAAATAGAAGTCAAACTCTGCCTATGCCCAAGGCCCCTGCCCTGAGGTTCTCCTGCCCCCGCTGGGCCCTGGAGTTTTTATAGCATGTCGAGAGGTGCCTCAGAGAGAAAAAAGTTGAGAACCCCTGTCCTAAGGCAGCATTTTGTTGGCGAGCTGCTACTGGTAAAATTCTGACCATTCCTTCATATTTAAATAAATAATTTCACTGCGATAAAATGGGGGAAAATGTGAGGTCTGAGACAGCAGTGTCATGAAGCAATCCTGCCAAGCTCATACTTGTATGGGACTCATCCTAGGAGAGACGTCATGTATAGCGTCCCCCTTGGCTGGTAATAGCCAGAAGGCCACCATCTTTTGTTTACGGTCTGGCATGCTCAGTCGTATAGTGCCTTCGCTCCTGTTTTTCTTTATTTTCTTAAGTGTTAGTGTGTTCTTTCTTCTTTTGATCTGTACATACGTACAATTGTGTATTTTAGTGTGCACACCACTTTCTGCTTCATGTGCTATCCAGGCTTCACATGATTGAGTTTGCAGGTGATCGTTTTATGGACTTGGGTCAAGTGGATCTTGAGGAGGATAAATTTGTGTTGGCTTCCCTCCGTCAGTTTCGGGAACCTTCATAGTAAATATCAGAGGGTGCTGACAAAAGGATAAATAGAGGGTTTTGAGAGAAGTGAAGGAAGATATACATATATATCAAAATATTCTGAGTGCTTGGTGAGCAAGTTCTTTCAAACTATGTGCATATATGATTTATAGGCTATTAAAGCCTATAATATTCATTATATTTGTTTGAATATAGAGTAGCTTTTCTCACTTTCTCAATGCCTATCTAGAGATTACCAGTCTTTTTTCTGGTAAATTCTTTCTTTCTCTTTCACACATATAGCAGTGTGTCCGAGGTGTTCACTCAAGATTAATTAATGGTCCTGGGGGAGACAGAGGATAGAGAAGCAAACACAAAGAGAGATGTCCACCTAGAAAATGCTGCAAGAAAAGCTATCTGCCCTAAGCAGTCTGTGCATCAAAAGTCACAAACTCCATAGCTTATCATTTAAGGACATCATCAATGAGTTTGCGCTCCAAAAATCACAAAAGAAAATGTTTTAAATTTCAGTGTTACAATTAATGTGATGTGCAAACAGACATACTGCAGGTTATACTGCTTCCATTAAGTAAGCTGGTCTGTGTAACTGTAACTGCTTTTGTGTTGCTGTAGATATAAAGTTTTCATATCTACTAATTAAGAAATCATAGACGAAAATATATTAATTTGAAACTATTTTGTAATGCAGACAGGCATATTGCAAGACGTGGTTTAGTTAGATTATTATTCTATTTTTACAACTTCGCCTTTGTATATATGCAAATATAAAGATTTCATGTTTATATATTCAATGTCCTTTCTGTGAAAATAATAATAATAATAAAAATTATTGTATGGGGCCTCTTACACTTGACATAGCTTAGGGCCTCAGAATGTCAGACTCTAGCCCTGGGAGTAACACAAAAACGGGTATGTTTGGAGAAGCGTGTGTGTGTGCGTGCACCTTTATGGGCTTACACTAGATCCTGGGCTGCACAAACAATTGAGCAGCAGCCATCTTATATTTTTAAAATAACAACAAAGATGAGACCTATCTTGGGAGCAGATTATCCCACATCTGCCTATTGCAAGGTTCTTGTACCTTCTTCTGAAGCATCTGGCACTTGCCTCTGTCAGAGAGAGGATGCTGGACTAGATGGACTGTGGGTCTCGTCCAGTATGGCAGTGTCTGTGTCTAAACCTCTTGCACTTGAGTAGAACTAGGGGCCCTACTCATATCCTAGTGTTGCAAGTAGCATGTCCAGCAACTGCAACATCGTATGTATCATCATAAAAGTCTGTTCACCACCACCATCACTCCTTAGTTTAGACTGCTTTGTGGTTTCTGCAGGGTTTATTAGGATCACGTCCAGATCTTCTATGTGCTTATAAGGCAATATTATTCATTCACATCACAGCCTTGACTTTCCCTCTGCTGAAGATACACATGCATGCTTGCATCTCTTCTCACCTTGACTATGTCCAAGCTCTAGTTGTCGGGGCCCATCGTGTACAGAATGTAGCTGCCTGCCCTCTCCTACCAAGCAGCACATCTACATTCTCCCCATCCTTACACAGCCCTATTGGTTCCCCATCCAGTTCCAGCTCCTCTTAATACACTTGCTGCTATCTATCTCATAGATCTTGTGTGTCTCTCTCCTTCCAGCTCATCATCTCTGTCTCTTCCCATAGTCCTGCCACTTGGTGCAAAAGGCTTTTACACCTGCAGCTACTGCCATGAATCTCTCCCCTTCATCCACTCTGTGGACCTGATTGTCCTCTCACACCAGTGTAAATGAGGAGAAACGCCATTAAAATCAAAGGAAATATCCTGATGGGAAACTAGTATAAGTGAGATGAGAATCTGGTGTAGTCTAAAGGATTAATCTGCTTGCTTGCATAGATATATCTTTTCTTATAAGTTTAAGTATTTGATTTATTGTAATAGGTTTATAGATTTATATTGAAATTAAGTTTGGCTGTAATGCAAGGGACCTACAGGCCAAAACCTGTATGTTAAGCTAAGACAAAGTTAGCATATCTACATTAAGACCTTTTACCCAGATAGCAAAGTTGACCTACATATTGAGACCTGTTACCTAAATAGATAAGCACCCACGTATATGTCTAAGACCTTTTATCTAGACCAGTAGACAATGGAAGAATAGCATAGGTTTTTTTTTCAATGTTATACCCACAGACTTAACAGATTTATGTGTGTATGCACATGTCATCAATACGCACAAACGTACTAGCCTGGGGGGTAAGTGAACCCTAACATTTCTGTGGGTGAGGAATGAAATTTGGGCATAGGAGGAAGGATTTCCGGCACTTGTGCCCTATAAAAGAGGTGACCCACCTCGCTAGCATGTGCTATCTATCCACGATGACTACTAACTATTAGTAGGCCATGCTCATTTTCTTTTCAAACTTTAAGTTCCAAGGGGACTAGGCTGGGGCTGATTTCCCTAACTTTTTGTTCTTAGTTTTGTTTATTAGGTTTTAATTTTAAGTTTAAGTTAGTTAAGTAAACTCTAAGTTAGCTTTGACAGCTCTTAGCATTAGCTTCCCCTGCACCTCTCACTCAAGAGTTGAGAAACCTGAACCACCAGAGGCAAGGTCCTGTGTCTTTCATCATCAGGTTATCAAGAAAGGGTGTGAGTATATTAACCAAAGCTTTGTAGCATACAATACCATATTAGCATATGTATCTCTTGAATAACTGTAATACAATTGTAACTTTGTAACTCTGATTATTTTACCATTTAATTACTATTTCATTGATTTTAATAAAAAGTCTTTACGGCTACATCTGTCTCAGTGTGAGCTTCCTGTCACACTCCCGAAGGTCCTTTGTAAATTCTGTGGAGCCTGATTTGGGACAAGAACTTTTATCTTCTGATCAAACAGATTGGCAAGCCTAAAACCCGTACCATCCAAATTAATATTATTAACACACCCTAAATCAGGCTACACTGGCCCTCGGACCCTTTTCAAAAAAACTCACCTGAAAACAATCTTTTCACCCTTGCTTATAACTGTTAATTTCTCTTCCCTCTGGTTTTGGCCTTAATACTGAATTATTATTTTTTTATTTATTCAACATACAAGTCCAGAGCAGTGTAAGGGGCCTTATTGTGCATGAGTCTAAGTTCCACAATGCCTATGCACTCCTGTTTTCTCAGATTATTACCATGTCTTGCCAGCTGTGTCACCTTGGGTATTTCTGTAATTAATTGTATAGCTACAGATCTAGAGATAAAACAGCTACAATAGACTCTATCCAGAATAATGTCACATTGATGTTTATTTTCTTAAATTCATTAATTCCTAAAATCCCTAAGAAACCTGCAGCTTTTGTGCTTTCATTTTAACAGTCTGCAATGGGATTGGAATAGGTGAACTGAAAGGGATTCTCTCCATAAATGCTACAAATATTGACTCTTTCAAAAATTGTACCAAGATCAATGGGGATGTCAGCATTCTACCAGTAGCATTTCTAGGGTAAGTCATCAGCTGATTTGTGTGTGGTGGGGAAGAGGGGTCATGGTTGGTCTTTTACCAGAAGCAGCCATTAAAGTTGATGTGTTCTTTTTCAAATTGCATGATCTGTTTGATTTTTAGTGATGCCTTCACCAAAACAGAACCACTGGACCCAAAGAAACTGGATATCTTCAAAACAGTAAAAGAAATATCAGGTAGTGATATGTTTGGCTTAAAATTTTGTTTGATCTTGTAGTCCCAGAAAACATAAACAAAAGGAGAAAAGGAATAAGAACAGTTTTTGTTAAGAAACTAAATCATCTGAGTTAGTGCCGGTTTCCAGAGTAACACCTTTCAACTGCAGTCAGTGGAGTTACTCTAGATTTACACTCATGTAACTAGGGTGACCAAAAGTCACGATTTTATAGGGACAGTCCTGATTTTTGGGTCTTTTTCTTATATAGGTTCCTATTACTCCCACCCCCTTCCCGATTTTTCACATTTGCTGTCTGGTCACCCTACATGTAACTCAGATCAGAATCTGGTCTAAGGTGTATGGTTTTACCAGTCCATCCCTTTTGCTGAATTGTCAGACATATTAAAGAGCAAAACCAGAACACTTTCAGACACCCAAGAAGTATGATGAAGCAGAGGCACAGGAAATGGCGCTCACTGCTAACCCACCTTGAAATAATGGCTGCATTTCTATTGGTGGAAAATGTTTCAAAGGTTCTTTGGGAAATTTTATTCCGTTGCTTCCATCATACCAATAGGAGTCACGAATCTGAGTGCCTTTTCCTTGGATCCATGCACCGAATGCTCTCAGTGGCAGCACAGATGGCCAGCCTGGGCCTGATTTTGATCTCACACCAACAAAAACCGGGAGTACTTCTGTTGGAGTCAAAGGATTTCACACCATTATAAAAGCAGTGTAAAATCTGAACTGGACCCAGGGTCTCCCCTTTTTCTCTCTCTCATTTTAAATATGTCCAGTTACTTTAAGTATAGTTGTCACTAAATTTAGAAAACTTTTATATAATACTGTTCCCCAAATTCTTTCCCCATTGAATGTCCAAGCAGGGGAAATCAATGTCTTTAGCAGTTAAACTCGGATGTGCTTTTCCCCACTCATTTTTTTCCATTTCCTAAATGCTTCCACTGCTAGAAAGCTCCAGTGATGGCCTCATGTTTCAATGAAATCCAGGGACACTCTACTGCAGCATTTCCTGATAAGAGCAGAAACTCCTGTGGTCTCTCAAGTGCTGCAGGATGTACAGCTCAATAACACACTAGACTTGTACAATGTTAAGCCCTCTTGGTGGCCTGAAAGTAAACTGTTTACAAAGCAGGGTTAAAAATATCTGCAGACTCCCTAAAATGTAATTCTTCATTTTGCAAGTCTCATAAAGATGCGAAGAAGATAAGTGCCTTCCCCAGCTCAACAGGAATTCACAATAAAAATCCCATTTTCAAGCTGCTGAGGTTTTGGTTTTTTTTTTTTTTATTTTATTCCTGTTTCAGGATTTTTGTTGATTCAAGACTGGCCTGCAAATGACACAGATCTCTATGCTTTTGAAAATCTGGAGATTATACGAGGCAGAACAAAGCAACAGTAAGTAAACCATGTGCCAGAATGAGGGTGAGATAAACTGTGTTTACAGCCAGGTTTGTCTAAAGAATAAAAGGTTTTGCAAAACTTGGGCCAAATTCTCTATTGGTGTAAATTTGTGTAGTCCTATTGAAGTCAGTGGAACTGCACCATTTTATACCAGTTTTATACCAATTTGGCCCTGTGTGTCTAAGTGACTGTGTCAAGATATTGTCCCTATTTATATCTGAGAGGAAGGATGGATTTGGGATTGGAGTGCTGGCATGGACCTTGGGAGATGTGGCTTCAATTATTGGTCCTGAGGCAGTCTTCCTCTGTGATCTTGAGCAAGTCACAAAATCTCTCTGGCTCAGATTTTTAAAGGTATTTGGGTGTTGCTCTGCTCAACATTACAACACCTAGGAGCCTAAGTCACTTTTTGAAAATTAGACTTAGGCTCCTAAGTCAGTAAGGCCTGTAACTCAGAGCAGAGCAATGCCTAAATACTCCAAAAATCTGGGCCTCTGGGCTTCAGTTCCATAGCTGTAAAATGGTGATAATATGGGCTTGTCTATACGCTGGGGCAATACGCTCTACCAGACTGTGATGTCAAAAGCTCACTGATGAGCTGCACATTAATTGGTCTGGATAAACCCTGCTGATACAGACTAAAGGTTCCCTAGTACGCTTTAACATAGTACTATTTGAAACAGTAGTGCGCATCAAAAGGGTCTACGTGGACCAATTAATGCTCAACACGTTAGTGGGCTTTAGAAATCACAGCCCCAGAGAGCACATTGCCCCACCATGTAGACAGTCCGAATATTTCATTGCTTCCACTCCTTTTCTGTCTTTTATGTAGATTGTTAGCTCTTTAGTACAGATATTTTCTCTTATTCAGTGCATGTACAGTGCCTAGCACAATGGGGCCCTGATCTCAATTGGTGCCTTTAGGCATGACTGTGATATAACTAATGAATTACAGCAGTGTCCAAAAGTCCTAATACAAATCAAGGCCATGTTGTGCTTGGTGCTACACTAACATGCCGAGTAGTATGGCAGACTCAAGTGCAAAATAATGACTTTAGCTTTACCTCCATAGTATTAGTATAGTATTAGTGCATACATGATGCAATGGGTCTGTCCTGTGTCAGAGGACTTAACTTTCAGTCCCTACAGAAAATCAGATGTGAATATAGTACCTTTACAATACATATGGCATAAAAACATCTGTAATATCACACAAATTAAGTTTGGTGGACCAAGCAATATCTTTCCTTGTAAAACACTCAGTTTACAGTAACCCAGATGGGTCTTCGAAATTCAAAAAGAAAATGTACTCAGTAAGACCACATTTAATCTGTTTCCATCTGTTGTTCTTTTTGCCCCACACCCATTTTAGTGGTCAGTATTCTCTTGCCATTGTTAACCTAAAGATACAATCTCTGGGATTGCGCTCCCTCAAGGAAATAAGTGATGGTGATGTCGCCATTATGAAAAACAAGAACCTCTGCTATGCTGAGACAATGAACTGGAATAAACTCTTTGTGACAGAAACTCAGAAAACAAAAATCACATCCAACAGAAATCAAGACGAATGCAGTAAGTTAATACTGTCCTTTTGTCCCTCTTGGAATGCCATTGTGTGGTGCAGAAAAAGAGATTGTGACCAGTAATTTAAGCAAACCTTTCTTCCTCCTTGTATATTGCCACAAACGAAAATCTTTAAGCTGCAGTTGATGTTGTTAAACCTCCTTTTCTATCAACACAATTACTAAAATTCCAGGCATCAGTTAAAGTGATAGTCGCATCCCCCTCAGCCTCAATTCAAATGTCTTGCCTGCCAAACACAATAATAACCAAGCACTCCTCTGCTCCATAGCCAGCTCCCATCAATGCCAACATATAACCAAGTACAACTCCCAGTCCCTCACAGTCCTCCTCAAACACTCAGTCTTAACTCCACCCTCAGATAGATTGAGATAAGTGGCCTGCGTGTAATGGCAAAGCTCATAATGTGGTGTTTCTCAAGGAGAAAGTGTGAGGTAAGAGTTGAGGTGGTGCATTTGAATGTGATTGTGAGGAAGTGGATGTCTTCATTGTGTTTGGTTATATAGTGGAACTGAAAGGGAGTTTGTTGTGCAAGGCAGGGGGGAAATCCTGACTCTGCTGAAGTGAATGAGAGCTTTGCCACTGACTCTAATGGGGCCAGGATTTCACCTAGGGTGGTTGAGAATGCATATGGGTATGATGCTGTGAATATAGTAAGGCATGTGTGTTGCAGCTAATGTGAATGTCTGCTTCAATGGTGACCTCCTGGATTATTAGTTGCAATTTCTGTCCACTTGCATGGCAGAGGCAAGGAAGGTCAGACCCAGAATTTAACTTGTTGCCTGTCAAAGGCTGTGGATGATGCTGTACTAATGTAAACCTGGGAGGAGGGGAGGGAGGGCAGGGGGTTCACCCTTGAGAATATAGACTAAATTGCTTCCTCAGGCTGCCCCGTCTCAGCGCTCTCAAAGCCTCACTGAGATTCATGAGCTCAAAATTTTGAGGCATTAGCCATGCAGAACCTAGATTCTGGCAGTTTTGGTCCAAACTACCCTTCCCAGTCACACATTGGCAGAGGCTCGATTTATACATCCCAAATGGGGAGCAATATAAAAAGATAAAACTCTCCTCTGAACACATTCACTTGTACTGTAGGGACTGTGTGTGCGTGTGTTTGCATGATGTTGTACTCAGAAGCTGGCCTACACAGAGGATTAACAATGACTGACAGCTAGGCAAGATCTGCTTTGCTATGGCTCAGCTAGTTAGAGGCTTGTTGTTTTGGAGCAGAAGAACAAGGGTGAAAGTTCGAACTCCACATGTTTGACTCATTCAGTCGGGGTCCAATTTGAGCTTCCCATTGACTTGCATGGACATTGGATCAGGCCCTTATCATGTCTCTCTGCAGCATATTGATTTGTTTTATGTTTATGTCCGTTTTAGGAGTAGATTTCTCTACAACAGATTAATCCGTATCTGATTAATAAATAGCCACAGAGCAGCATGTGTTTTTATATTGCAAAACTAACAGTCCCATTTAATTTCAAGCTTTGGAAACTAGAGAAAAGCATGAGTGTTTCTCCTCCTGCTCTGTAATGCTGTCAGGATCCTTCAGATCTACTCTAGGTTAATTTGGAAAAATTGGCTCTCAAAAATGAGTCATTTGTGGTGCTCTAATTACTCTCTATGAAATCCCTGGCTATTGTTTGTCTTTGTCTCTGTCTCTCTCAGCTGCTGCGGAACATGTTTGTGACCCCTTATGCTCAGAAGTAGGCTGCTGGGGTCCAGGGCCATTCCATTGCTTTTCCTGTCGTCATTTCAGTCGCCAGAGGGAATGTGTGAAAAAATGCAATGTTATGCAAGGGTAAGGAGGTTTTTTGGGGGCGGGGGAAGAGGGGAAGGGTTAGTGTAGGAAGAAAAATATTTACATTACTAGGGGGAAATAAAAACCAGGAATTCTAGTAGTATCAGTTTTTGTTACTTTTGCAAAAATGTTGGTTTGAATGTGGTACCTAAATACAGAAAAGGGGGGAAGAAATACCCTTCTCTAAGAATACTTAGCAGTCTGTTCCCCAGCATCAGTTGGGGGATGTACATGGATAACTCCCCTAAGACTACTGGGAGAAGACTGAAATTTCAAAGGGGCTTAAGGGAACTAAGCACCCAACTACCATTGAAAATCAAGCAGCCTACCTCCTTAGGCCCTCTTGAAAATCTCAGTCTTTAAGCATATTAGGTGAAATCTTGACCCTATTGTAACCAATGGGATTTTGATACTGACTTCACTGGGACCAGGATTTCACCCAGCCTCATTTACTTCAATGGGACAACTCAGTGGAGTTAAATTTATGCACATGCTGCAGTGATTTTGCTGGATTGTGGCCTAAACATCTTAAGGTCAAAGTCTACCCTCAGATTCCCAGGCTCCCATCTAAATTATTGGGAGCCTGGTCCAATTTTTACCCACTTTTATTGCCGAACTGCAGTGGAGGCATGATGAACCTAAATACACTGGCCCCAGCACACCAGGACCAGTAATTTCAGGCAGAAATAATCGCATCAGCTTGTCTTATGTTTAGCAAAATTTATAAGTGTCCTTGGGTCTTGAAAAGGAGGATTCTCATAATTGTTTAAACCTGTAATATATATGTTAATTTAAAGAAACAGCTAACATCAGTTATGCTGATCCCAAAACTGAAGGATTTTGAATACTCTGCGTTTTTACAGAGCACAAAATGTTTACTCATCCATAGAACTACCAATGGACATATTTTTCCTATTTCCTTTTTACTAATTCTTTAAAGCTTGTTTCACTTTTAAAAATAATTAATATTATGACACTAATTTACAGTATGCTGGTGTCCATAATGTTTATATTTGTCTAGCAATTTGCAGTTCAGCAGCTGTTGTCTTTTCAAGTGAATTCCCTCCAGCAGATATTATGACCTACAGGGCAGATCTGGGCATTTTTTTAATCAAATGATGGGTAGATTTGGTTTAATTAATAACACAATTACTTGAAGTAGAACAGCTTTATTGCTATCAAAACCATCTGTTCTCAGCTTTCATATTTTAATGATTCATTGTGTGTTATAGGGAGGGCAAGAATCTAATTATCAGCCAATTTGTTTAATTTCCCAAATTTTATTTAGAGGCTCAGAATCACTAGACATATTTTTGCTGATCAGCAGTGATAGAAAAAATGTTTTGGAGAATATTCTTCATCTTCATTAAAATGTAAATACTAATTTGTAGTTTACAATTTGGATTGCCCTGTGTGGCACTTTCAGCCAAATTTTCCTTATTCTCACCTTTTCCTGTGTTATGCCCAGCAAGTAATATTGATGTGCTAGGGCTAGTCAAGAAGTTCTTCCTATATCCCCTCCTATCTCATTATACTCATCCTAATATAGTCAACCTGGAAAAAGTAGTGGAAGCTCTGAAATGTAAATTTGAAGTTGACATTTTGTCAAGTATTCCTTCTATTCCTTTTTTATTTTTCAGGGAGCCAAGAGAATTTGAAAGAGAATCTGAATGTCTTCAGTGTCACCCAGAATGCCTGGTGCAAAATTCAACTGCGTACAATGCAACCTGCACAGGACCTGTAAGAGCAGTTTTGACCTAACAAACTTGTACACATAGAGACCCTGTAACATGGTGAACATATTAAAATACTTAGATGTTGAACAACCAGATCATCATAAATTATGACACTTCCCGCTATGGAGGCTAATTTTTGCTTAACTGAGGCAGTGTATAAATAATAACTATGGCTAATAGTGAAATAATTCACTAACTTTTTGCCTCTGAAGACCAAAGATCAGATTTTAATCAACAGCAGATGTTTATTGGAAAATATTAAGAAAGCAGTTTTTATTTAAAACCAAACTCTACACCCCAACACAATTAAAATGAATGCATCTCTTTTAATGTAAGTGCAAAGTATGGGGTCTTTGTAAAAACGATAGTCAACTTTTCCAAAGTTACTTGAATTTTCTGAGTTTATATAAAGGCCCCTTTTATAAAAGTTAAAATACCTTGGTCTTTCCCAATATCCAATGGCAAAATCCTTCTCAGTTTTATCCTTCTCAGATTTTCAAAATACTTTGTTATTTTATGAAGTCTCTACCTTGGCCCGTATGGAAAACAAAGCCCCATCTTTATTCCCCCCCCCCCCCCCCCAGGTTGTAACAAATTCAGCCTTGAGGGTAAGAGTCAATGGAGAGTTGTACTTCTTTACACTCAGGGCTGAATTTAGTCCCTTAGTTTTATTTTGCAGGATATTACAATTCCAGTGTAGCCATTAGCTCAATAATATCTTTTTTTAGTAAAGGGATGGGGGGAATTTTCTGTTTCCTGCCAGAGTGTCACTTTTCTTCCTCCCCAGCACCTTACAGCCCCACTCTTGGAAAAACTCCTGCACCCTCCATTGCAGCCACTATCCTGACACAGGACGACTGTCCACCCTTCATCAGTCAGAAAGTCACTGTTCAGTAATGCAGGGTACTTGCTTCATTCCGTTATGGCTTAGAACAACGGTTCTCAACCTGGGGTGTCTTCGGCCCCCTGGGGTTCCATGAACAGGTTTGAGGGGGTTTGCCAAGCAGGGCCGGTATTAGACTTGCTGGAACCCATGGCAGAAGCTGTGCCATGGGGCCGTGGGCAATTGCCCTGCTTGCTACCCCCTAATGCCAGCCCTAGCTTTTATATGCAGAAAAATAGTTGTTGTGGCACAGGTGGGCTGTGGAATTTTTGTAACGTGTTGGGGGCGCCTCAGAAAGAAAAAGGTTGAGAACCGCTGGCTTAGAACCCTGGGCCAGATGCCCAGCTACTAAGATTGCAAGCTGCTTGGGGTAGGGGCCATCATTTTGTTGTGTGTTTGTACAGCAGGTAGTACAGTAGAGCCCCAGTCCATGAGAGGGGCTGATAGACACTACAAATAATACACCTCTACCTCAATATAACGCGGTCCTCAGGAGTCAAAAAATCTCACCATGTTATAGGTGAGACCGCGTTCTATCGGGGTAGGGAGAGGAACCGCTCCCTGCCCCAGCTCACCTCCACTCTGCCTCCGCCTCCTCCCTGAGTGCGCTGCCGCCGCTCCGCTTCTCTCTCCCTCCCTCCCTCCCTTCCAGGCTTGCAGTGCCAATCAGCTGTTTGGCCCTGCAAGCCTTATAGAGAGAGGGGGGGAGAAGTGGAGCGGCGGCGGCGTGCTCAGGGGAGGAGGCGGAGATGAGCTGGAGCGGGGAGTGGTTCCTCTGCGCCCCCCGTTACTTGCTGCGGCCCTTCCCAGGGCCCCCGCGCCCCACCTCACTTCCGTTCCACCTCCTCCCACCAGCGCATCACAGTTCCGCTTCTCCCCCCTCCCTCCCAGGCTTGCCGCGCCAATCAACTGATTGGCGCGGCAAGCCTGGGAGGGAGAAGCAGAGCTAAGCGGCATGCTCGTGGAAGGAGGAGGAGGAGGGGAGCGGTTCCTCTGCGTCCCCCCCACCCATTACTTGCTGCGGCCCCCCTGCCCCAGGTCACCTCCGCTCTGCCTGCACCTCCTCTCACGAGCGCGCCGCAGCTCCGCTTCTCCTCCCTCCCACGCTTGCCGTGCCAAACAGCTGATTGGCGTAGCAAGCCTGGGAGGGAGGGGGGAAAAGCGGAGCTGCGGTGCGCTCGTGGGAGGAGGCAGAGCAGAGGTGAGCTGGAGCAGGGGGGCGGACGGGGGCCGGGAAGGGCCGCAGCAAGTAATGGGCGGGCGCAGAGGAACCGCTTGCGGTAACACGAATTTGGATATAATGAGGTAAAGCGTTATATCAGGGTAGAGGTGTAATACATAAATACATCAGTGTTGCTCCACTGCAGTCAGTGCTAAGGATCTAGCCTACTATTTTCTGGAGCATACCTGGGGCTCCTATGTGGCAATGAACTAGGCCATCAAGGAAGTTTCTCTTTTAAAGTTAGAATAGTCTCTTCATGTTTGTGATTAATTGCTTACTGGCATCAGAAAACTAAAAAGTTATATTTTGCTGACATACTGATTGTCATGAACACAACTGATTCCTTCTGATTGTCATGAACACAACACTTCCAGCTTTTGCTTCGGAAAAGGCAATTTTGCCTGGGACTACTTGTTCCTCTGTTTAGAGAGTACCTAGATCATTTTGGGTCCTGCCACAATCTCAGTAAAAACAACATTATTTCAGATAATGGCCAGAGCAATTCATCTAAACTTTAGCTAAAAGCACTTCAGATTAGAAATTTGATGGGCTTTTCTATTTTCACCCAGTTTCTCTTTCTGCTTCAGAGTAGAAGAAAAAAATGTTCTCTTAGATTATACAGAGAATGAAAAAGCTTTATGAGTCAGATCCTCATCTGGTATAAATTGATATAGCTCCACTGATTTCAATAGAGTAATGGGGATTTACATTCAATGAGGATCAGGCCCCTTTGATTTTAAACTTATTTGCTCTCAGAGCATCTTTATTCACAGCATTAAACCAAAAAGTAAGTTTTTATTAGGACAGAAAATAGGAAAATTACAGAATAGCAGGAATCATACCTCAGCATTGATACCCAGAGAGAGATTTATTTCATTTAACATCAGGTGCTGTATCTCACCCAGCATATTATACAAAAGGATTAAAACTTTGCAAGCATTTCATGTAGTACAATAATAGGATAATAAACTAGGATAAAACATTGAATCATGTTTAGAATTTCAAATGATCAAACATGCATTTATTTATCTTCTGAGGCTTTTCTTGCATATGCCAATATATGGCTTGGGCAAATCTATTACAGACAATAATTTCTTGCTCTTTATTCAGGGTCCGGACAACTGCATAAAGTGTGCCCACTATATAGATGGCCCTCACTGTGTTAAATCCTGCCCTGCTGGAATTCTGGGTGAAAATGATACCTTAGTCTGGAAATACGCAGATGAAAATTCAGTGTGTCAGCTCTGCCATCTGAATTGTACCCGTGGGTAAGTAAAATACTTGCTTACACAGAAGTGGAAGGAGTAAAGTATTTCTTCCTTGTGATTTTTCTTACTGTAAAGTCATCCATTTGAAAAAAATAGAAAACTAAAGAGGTTATGAATTTGCAGGTAATGTAAGCAAAGTGCTGCTGAGTTTGGAATAGGTAAAGTTCTGTAGTGCTTCTAGTCTGCAGGAAAGGCAAAAAAAGTGGAGAAAATGGTTTAGCAGACTTAAAACAAGGTTATTTTTAAAATTAGACTTTCTGGAATTTTACAAGTTTCCTATGTTATGATTCACTTTTTTCCCCACCAGTTGAATGCTTTGTCGGCTGTATTTGTCTGGAGCAATAGTGACATCTGGTGGACTGTGAGATCATTTATAAACGTGTTTCTCACAAGAGTACTAAGAATGTCCCATGCCTTTAAGATGAATGTAATAGTATGAGTGGCTGCTCATGTATCTCATTGTGACTTTTGGTGTTTTGCTCCAAAAAAATCACAGATTGTCTCAAGCATACACTGCATTTTAATGCTTCCCAGAGGTTCCTCTCTTTTCATATGCTAAGAACATCCGAGCTGCCATACTGAGTCAGAGTGTGGTCCATCTTGCCCAGTATCCTGTCTCCATCAGTTGCCCATACCAGAGCTTCAGGGAGAGTATACAGAACAAGGCAATTTCACCTGGGTTGGAATTTAGGGCTTGTCTGCCCTATCAGTACAACTGTGTGACAGGGCCTGGCTGCAAACACAGTTCCATTTTGTGGTACAGCAATGGACTGTCCAAGGCACTAGCATAGTTCAGAGACACAGTGAAGTTTTCATCTATAATGGGGTCCCCTCATACACTTGCATTTGTGCGCTTACATTAGATGCACAGAAAGAGGGACGGCGTTTGAAATTTGACTCTTGTCCTGCATTGGTTTCAAGGAATGTTCTCTCATTGGTGTTTTTTCCCCAAGGGGCTTTTCCTCTATAGTAGTGGAAATCTTACCTCAAATGCTCACCTAAGTTAACTAAGAGAAGATTTATACACTGCACTCCCAGGCTCAGATTGCCATTTGACCCAAGTCTCATGTCCTCCTCATGTATTCAGCTACCTCCCTGCCAAGCCTTGAAAAACAGAGCCTGCTTTTGACAAGGCACAAACCCGTACATTCATGGAGAGAAAGAAAGGAGGGGGTTAAATAGGCTACACTATCACTTCATAGATGACTGGAAGCTGTGGAAGTAGAGAAAGAACTGACAGGGATTTGAAGGGGATTTCAATGCAAACAGTCCCCTCTGTGAGCAAGAGTCAGGCTAGCTGTAACCCTAATAACGCGAGATTTGTAGAAGCGAGGATTGTGTGAGGCGAGTGGGAAAGAACTACGTGAGAAGTTGTTGCGACCTTGTGTTAGATAAGTATGGAATGTAGACTATAGTCTAAATAGAGGTGAGAAAAATAAAATATCAGGATGACCTATGTATAAACAAAATGCAGCTGTTGCTCATTATTGTATGTAACAAAAGGTATAAATGCTTGCTGTAATTGTTTACCTGAAGAGAGACCTGTTTAGGTCTCTCCCTCCACACAATTGCTAGAGATAATAAAGTATCTGACTTGCTGCACCCAACCTGCGAGTGAGAACTCTGTTTTTCTCCGACAAAGCTAAGGGCTTGTCTACAAGGAGAAGTTAGTGCGCAGTGAGCTAGGGTGTGCAAGTAAAGTGCACTAGCTATTCCACACTAGCTCCTCATGTAACTTTCAAAATGCACTAAGTTCAGGCACACAAAGCACTCTTAATGCACAGTAACGGTGTCCACATGGGGAATTACTGTGCACTAGGTACTGTGGGCTTTTTCCCAATATAGACACGCCTGAAGCCAGTATTTCTCAACCTTTTTGATATCGGGGATCAGCTTACTGCCTTCTTAAACTGTCAGAGAGATCTCAGGGACTGGCGCCAGTCTATGGATTGGTCATTGAGAAACACTGCCCTAAGTCACCTGGTGTGTTTCAAGTCTTCATGAAATTCAGTGCAGTGTTTTTCAGATTACGTCATATGGATTGATGATTTCCCTGTGTTTTATCATGATTGCAGACAAAGGTTGTTTGTGCTTTTCAATCATACAATGAATGTTCTTCATTGAAAAATGACACTCCAAGTAACCATTACCATTAGTTCCCATTGATAGAAACTTGGCCATAGTAAACCAGTGTCATTGTTACATGATTGCCCATGTGAAAGCATAGAGTCACAGAGCCATTCTATCATCTAGGCTGACCTCTTGTATGTCACAGGCCACCAATACCACCCAGCACCCGCACACTAAACCCAGCAACCAAAATTAGACAAAAGTATTACAGCCCACTTTAGCTGATAGCTTTAGCAGAACGATGGCTAACCATGTCTAAACAAAGCTTTTAACTGTGTGGTTCTGCTAGAAAGATAGAAAACTGAAGTCAAATGAACAATACATTGTTCAACAACAATACATCAATACAATACAAGTTGCTGAATCTGGATGTAGCTGTCAGTTCTGTAACAGCTTGTTGTGCACTGTTTATGCCTCAGCACAGAGTTTTAAGCAGTTTGAATTTCACCAGGGATGTCAACTTTTCCGCTGGCTTGAGCAGTAGAGAGGTTTAAGATGGCAGAGCCATGGAGGATGAATGTGTAGTGGGGCAAGATTATTCTAATATCAAAAAAAGGTTCAATGTTTTCCACCATATGACATAGTAAAGCAGTGAATGAAGACTAAAATTCAAATTCATCTCTGATTTGAGTAAGATGTGGGGTAAGTTTGCAGTTGTTGTTTATTTGTATTACAGTAGCTCCTAGAGGTCCCAATTGAGACCAGGACGCAATAGCTGCCCAAATACATAGCAAGAGGCAGCCCATTCTCCAGGCTTTGGCATAAGTTCCCCATTTTGCTCTGGGATTGTGTACTCACCAGTTCTCTCTTTCTTTATACTTGCTGTTGAGGATTTCACTTCTTTTTCAACTTTTCATAAGGCAAACAGAAAAATGCATCCATCACTTTTTCAGCCCAAATGGCTCTTTCTCTTCCACCTCCCTCTCTAACAGCTTGGGGATTTTTCTGCACTAACTCTCTCTGTCTCTCTCTCCAAGTACAGCTGAGAAAGTACACTCCATTTAAAGAGAGAGTAACTACTCCAAAGCCCTGGAATTACCCAGGTCATACTTCCAGCAACTAATGAAACACATTAACAAGATTAATCTCTCAAACATGAGTGATTTGAATTTCCCTAATTGTTTTCCCAGGATACTACAAGTAAATTTCATTCCAGCTGGTGTGGTAGTGCAGTAAGAACTACAAAGAGAGAGGCAGAAGTATAATTAATCGTTCTGGGCTTCATCACTGATAGAGCCCCCCCTACAAATTTAGTTACCACTGACTTATATATTCTGAGATCAATCATGTTAAATATCCAGGAAGAATTTTTGCAGCCATTGCATGTGTGGGACATATTTTCCTGTCATTTAGAAGGTTAATGAAAAAGAAAGGAGAGAGGAAAGGTCTTTTAAGGCTTTAAAAAAAGCCCAGTGGTTTCCCATTTCATTTATGACTGTGAGGTAACCTGTGCTGTTACAGTCTGAGTCTCCTCTGAAAGGCCATAAATAAAAAAAAACTGGCTATATTACATCAAATTAGAAACAGTGGGTTCAGGAGAAAGTTGTTTAAAATCTTGATGGAACTGGGAAATAATCAGTTGTATCTGCACCGAGACAATTAATATTTATGTAAACAGATGAAAAAGTTCCAGATAGCACCAGGATAGAATTGTTTCAGGGGCTGTATGGTGCTCTAATTTTACAATAAGTGGATAGCAGAGAGAGATTTCAGAGTACACTCACCATTAGGTTCAGGCTAATATATACTTAAGATCCCCAGACAGTTTATAATACAAGGTCACATTTCTCATTTTAGTTTCTGTAAGAAGTAGAGGAAAAATAATTCAAGAATGGGGAAAAAGTGATATTTTAGATTCCATAAAACATAGCTTACTTATGTTAGGAGTCATCATAAAATTCCACTTTAAGAAAGATGGTTATATTTAGCCTTGGGTGGATATTTGTTATGTACTTTGCTTCTCCTTTGACTTGTGAAATGAATCAGAAAATCACATGGGATTTGAAAAGCACAATCTGATCCATCATTTTTCTCCCCAAGCATCTTTTAACTTTATCTTGGTACCCTTCACATTGATGGATTTTTATGGAGTTCCATACTAAAGACCACAAATGAAAATCGACACCCTTTTTTCTGCCTCTAGTTTCTAATCTAATCTTTCAGACTATGGGCATTAAGGGAGCATTTCCTTTGTTGAGAATAATACATCTTCTTTTGAGACAGAAACCATCTGGAGAATTGCTCAGAATGAAGGGAGCATGGAAACTGGAATTTTGTAAAAGAAATGCCCTTGAAGAGGTTATACTGGTGGCCTGAAATAATGTTTTATTTGCACAGCTATACCAGAAGAGGGTGTTGTACACCTTTTCCCTTCCATTCATTTAGCGGTGTTAGAGGGTGGTGGGACTAGAGCTTGCATCCTAGGCAAATATTCTAGTCAGCTGACCTAAAGGAGAAGCCCTGTGCAATCTCATGCACATTCCCAGGTATCCCCTCCGTACACACTCACACTCACACTCACACTCACACTCACTCACTCGTTATGTTTCCTTATACAACTGAACAAACAAAGAAAACCATAACCAGATGAAGGACATTGGCAAAGTTGCACACTCAGGCTTCAGGAACCAATGTGCAAAATACCTGAAGTGTGTTCTGGACACCAAGATGCAAATTCTTCTATGGGAGCTCAATGCACTCACTGAACCTTTCAGACTCTGAGCCCTGTTGCACTGTGTTAGCACTGAAAACACAAGGAAAGATTAGAATAACAAAGATAGATCCAAGAAAATGAGCAGTAGGCCCCCCAAGGGCCTAGAATAATTTATGGACTAAATTCTCCATCTCCACCTGCCATTTTAAAATGGCTCAGACTCCTTTTTCCTACTAATGGAATTCAGAACTGCATTCCTGGCCCTGGCTTACTCCTTATGCCCTGCTTGACCTACTCTGTGTCTGCTTTGAGATGATGTATTTTCGGTAAGAGAGGGAGGCAGAAGCCCCAGATTGGACTCTTCTCCTTGCTCGGCTCCATTTTTCAGAAATGATGTGATTGTTTCTGCAGTGCTGTCCTCTCCTTGGTAGATACCACAAGGACCACAATTCCCAGGAGGCGCACACATCTTACCACTCAGCAGTACTTGAGAATGTTCTGTTTATCTCATACTCTGGCACTTCCAGTTGGAATATGCAGTCACTGTATTTTCATCTTCAAACTGTAGCTGGGGTGTTCATTATATGCTGTCTGCCAAAATAAATTTAAGGCATCTGGATGGTGGTGTGCATTTACACTAATACAGAGGGTGAAATAACTGATTCCTGGGAGGATTCTACATAATATCGTATACATAATATACATTCGAGTACAAATCTACTCAGTGTCAGTAAAACCTGATGCTAGACCCTCAATGAAAAATATCATAGATTCTTATATGGATGGTGCACCCAGTGGTAGAATAGTGCAACCAAATACCATACTATTCACTGATGAAGAGATGTGTCTGCTAGTGATATTTTTCATTAGACTAGAAGACCTGGACACTGACGTCCTTTACTGATCCATAAAACAGGTGCCCTACAGTGTGGTAAGCAGCAATGCAAGCTTTTCCTCATAGGCCCATGCCTTGTATGAAGGATCTCCCCTAGTGAAAGGTTAGTTCTGTCTCCAGACGTATTCAGTCCTTGCCGCCCTGTTAACAAAAGGGCCAGCCTGTTGCAGTGAACATTTGCCCACTCAGAGCAAGATCACTAGCTTCTTTCACACAGGCCACCAAACAATTCTTTGTGATCAGTTGTTTTGTGCACCCCCAGGTTAGGGATGAACAAGTCAGTTCTTTTGAAGTTGTTGAATAAGGCAGCACTTGTAGAGACTGCAGAGGTATTGGGGGGAAAAAGAAGCCGGGGATCCATGGTGCATGGTCCATGTTCATAGGCAGACATTCATAAATTGTCCTTTCAACTGAATATACAGCACACCTTAGCCTGTGGACCCTGATTCTGCAGCAAAGCTTTCAAAATAACACTCCCAAAAAGTTTTATAATTATTAATCAGAAAGTTAATATTCTGACAGCTTTTTAAAAAGGTAAGTTGTGAATGACAATACAGTTATTCCAGAGTAGGTGCTAGTGCTAATATATATTTGTAATTATCGTTTTTTACAGGTGCAAAGGACCAGGTCTTGAAGGCTGTCCATTGGGGTAATTATTGCATTCATCACAATTAATGATATAGTTGGGAAGAACATATCCATATTTACATTTTTGTGCTGGACACTGCATAGTAGTGCCCTGATTCAGTGAAGCATGTCCTTAACTTTAAGCATGTGAATAGTCCTGTTGAAGCCAATGAGACTACTCGAGTGCTTTAGTGCTTCGCTAGCTGAGGGCCTAGATGTATGGGACTCTTGTTGCTGTCAGTGAGAGATCTGTGTACTTCAAGTGCATAGTTTCTAAGGTAAGATCCTTTGTGAGAATCTGAAAGCAAAATTCTGTTCTTATTTTGTATTGAAATAACTGTTTTAAAATCATCAAGACAAACAGAAAGAGTAAGTAAATCACCATCCAATGTGGTGCTTACCATACAGTGTCTCTTCAAAATGGTTTTAAAACTATTTGAGCAGATAGTGATATACAGAATATAAAGAGACCATGACAATGGTTCACAAATCCTAGTGCTGAGGCTGTGGAGGAGGGGGGAAGCGGAGGAGGGGCTCTGGCCGCCGCTGCCAGCCCCGCCGCCGCGTTCCGCACAGGTGCACAGCCCCGCCCCCCAGCGCTGTCGGGCGGCGTGGTAAGGCTGCAGGGGATGGGGAGAGCCGGGAAGGGACTTTGGCTGCCGAGGCCCCAATGCGAGCGGCGCTCGGCCACCCTGTCAGCCGCTTTTCGCTCTTTAAATAGCCGACCTGGGGGAAATCCCGGACATTTTTAGATTTTTAGAAATCCCCCCTGGACGGCTATTTAAAGAGCGAAAAGCTGGACATGTCCGGGGAAACCCGGACGTATGGTATCCCTATATAAACTGTTCTATTTCAAACCTGCGACTGAAGCCATTTTGAAGTTTAAAAAAACCAAACAACCAGCTCTATATAAAACCCCAAAAACACTGAATGAAAAACTTCAGACTATTGACACCCATGTTGCTTGAATGTAGGTAGATCAAAACTGATCTGAAGCCTGAAGCCTTCAATTGATCATGTTTCTAACATGGAATGCTGTATTGAAAATACACCATTTGTTATTTCTTATACCAAAACAAACCTCTTTCCCCTTTTTTGTCTTCTAGCTCCAAAATCCCATCCATTGCAGCTGGCGTTGTTGGAAGTATCCTTTGTTTGGTTGTGATAGCCTTGGTCATAGGCCTTTACATGCGCAGACGTCACATTGTTAGAAAGCGTACATTGCGCAGGCTGCTTCAGGAAAGGGAGGTACGTACTATAAACAGTTTCTAAATATATTGACCAACTTTATTGATGTGCCACAGAGTCTCAGAAAGAGCTGTTGTTTTATTAGGCCCTGACCTCACCCTAATACAAACATAAAGTACAATATTATCTGGTGTTTGGATAACATGTTATCTGCAGTTCTACTCGGAAAAGTGACTATGTAAATATGACACCATATTACTTAATCTCAGATCTTATCTTGGTGGGTAAAAATTGCAATAGCTCATAGGTGAGTTAGGTGCCTAATTTCCACTGAAAGTCATTGGAAATTAGGCTGCTGAGTCACTTAGGTGCTTTTGAAAATACTACCCTGTTATGATCTGCTTACTCTAGTGACAAAAATAAGGGATTTTTTTTTATGGCTGTTTTTACTACTCGTTACTCCTGTTAGTGCTGCAGAGCCTACACAGCTCTGGGACGCTAAGCTGGATTCTGTTCTGGGGCACACATCATGAACAGAACTTTATGGGCTGAGTTTCAGTTTCAAAGCCAATGCTGCCTTCAGTTGCCCCTGTTCCATTCATGTCTTTTTTTGGAATACTATTGCTCCCTAAACTTGAGCTTAACAATAGTGAAAACAGAAGTCTTTTATTATACTATTGGCTACAGTATGTTCAGTGCAGGGAGTGATAACCTGAGAGATTACTCGTACCAACCACTCCACATGGACAACAATGTCAGCCTGAATGTAGAAATCTCCCTTAAAGCCGTTGCAAGACAATGTGTTCACCATGCTGGATGAGAACTGGGCTTTCATGCTTCTTGTACTAAACTTTATACACTGCATGGTATAGACTTCATATGGGTTATAGTATTATCCTCTGGGTATTTTACATGTGAAACACAAAATGCATTATCCAGGATCAAAACAAATCAGGTACGACTCTTCCCTTTCTCCTTCCAATTCAGTTTTAATAAGCTACTAGCAAATTGTATTCACAGTTCTACTGAACACCCTGTTTCCCTCGCTAGCTTTGCAAAATCAAGTGATAAAAGTCCTGAAGCTGCCCTACTTTTTGCTACATTTACCTAGCAACCTTTTAAGAGCCTCCATATTCTACAGTTGTAATGTTATAGCACATATTGTGTTTGGTTCACATTATACATTTTGTACTCCTTAATATGAGAATCGTTAACTGAAACAGGAAAATGGCTGGCATGCAGAAAACAGATCTGTATCCAGGCTAAATGTGGGCTTCCAGTTAGGAAAGCTATTCAGGAGAAGGACACAACAAGACGGTAGTAAAAGAGGACTTTAAATATTAGGAAAGTGCCTAATTTCTCATTTGTTGTTTCCTTAGAAAAAATACTGCAACAAAATTCAAATCAAATAAATAAAATCTATTAGTCAACTTAAAACCCCCTTTTTAGCCTGGATAACTAGATAATCTTACCTTAGCATTTGCAGTAATTCCCTATACTAAGCATAGAAACTACTTCTAATACCATAGTAAATTCATCTAGTTAAGCAAGGCAAAGCTACAAAGTTTCAGGGTGACCACAGTGTAACCTTTTAAAATGTAGATAGTTAACTTCTGACTTATTTTTAGAAACAAATCTTTAATTAAACTGGTCAGCATTATGTGCATGTTTTAAGGGTATAAATTTTACATCCTAAAATGAACAATAATATCTCTCCACTTTCTTTTAAAATTTTAGTTACCATGCCAAGGTCACATTCTGCTCTCACTTATGCTACATCAATCTGGTGTAATAATTCCATGGACTTCATTCTTGTCTCATTTATACAGGTGTAAATCTGGAGTAACTCCACTGAAGTCATGAACTCCGGAGATACTCTAGATTTTCATAGCTGTAAGTCAGAGCAGAATTTACCCCATGTATACTTCATGTGGGACAAAATTTACATTATTGCCAACAGTTTTTGCTCAGTTTCAATAGTTGTGTGCTGCTTGCCTTCCTCCTTTACAGTATATCTTTCTAAAGTCCAATTCCTTTGTACACAATAGCTCGTTGAACCTCTAACACCAAGTGGCGAGGCGCCAAACCAAGCTCTTCTGAGGATTCTAAAGGAAACAGAATTTAAAAAGGTCAAAGTTCTAGGCTCTGGAGCTTTTGGAACTGTTTATAAGGTAAGACCACCATGTTTTTCTCACCACACACACGCACACAAAGCCATCTAAACAGTGTATGCATTGGAAGCTGAAAACATAGTCATGGGTTTTTTTTGAGTTATTTTCAAATCATCTTTAGCTTGGGCCAGGTAAAGTAGATGTGTGAATCTGTGTGTGTGTGTGTGAGTGAGAGAGAGAGAGAGAGATTGAGAGAGAGAGAACACACAAGAAGTTTTTCATAAGATCTTATGAGAGCCATACAGCTGAATATGGAGCCGATGTGTCTATTTAAAAAAGTACCACTGCCAGAAATACTTTCTTTGGGATGTTAAAATATTAAGAAGAGAAATCAAAGTATGACCAACTCAGTCTATTGTGCTAAGCAAAATTTTTATTTTTTTATTTTTATTTTTTTTTATCTTCTCTTTTTATTTGTGGATCACTTTTATTGGGTCAAAAGAACCCCACAGGGTTATAGAAAAGCAACTGGAGCCTTTCTAGTGTATTGTTGTGCAGAATGATTTCCCTCCCCCTCCACACTCCCATTATTCTTCCTTCTCTAGAGAGTATCTCTCTAAAAGATTTCTCAGTGAGGAAGCTGCAGGGATGTTTTACACCATTTGGTATTGAAATGTAAAATATAGATTTACTTATCACATTTTAAGTTTAGATACTTGGGGGCAGATTTTCAAATGTGCCTAAGAAATTTAGGAGCGCAAATCCCTTGTGTGCTTTTGAAGATTTGCCCTTTTGACCCCAAATACCCGTCTGCCTAAATGATTATGTAATGCAATAGACGATGAACAAGAAACCATTCTGACATGAATTTACTTCTCATAATATATATAACGGATTGGATTATTGTGTAACCCTTGGAGCAGGCTGGCTGAAATTTAGTTTCACGTGAGAAAACCCTGATTCCCATCATTCAGCAGCTTATAACTTAGAAGTGATACAATAATCAACACAGTGAAAAACGAGTTCAGCAAAGACTAGTAATGTCCAGTTGTGTCCAACTTGCATGTACAATTGCCGTGATTGTTAGCACTAATTAGATATTGGTGCACACATATTGCCATTTATGCATCTTCTGGGCTCATTGCACATGTGACTCAAGGTAATTGCACATGCATGTTTTTGAAAATCAGGCCCAAGAGATTGAGACAGATGCCACTCCATTAACAGGAGTCTACCCAGAGAGAGTGACTGCTATATACCTCCTTCGCTGCCTGCTTAGCCTCCCCTAATTGTTGCTTAGAATGTTTCAGTCTGGTCTGAAAACATCATACATATAAATGTAAAAACATGCATTTGCAATTACCTCAGCAATAGTGAATCACTGGGTTAAGGACCTAGGTAACCTTTCTTCTTCTTTTTATAGGGGCTCTGGATTCCGGAAGGAGAGAAGGTTAAAATTCCTGTTGCTATTAAGGAATTGAGAGAGGCTACCTCCCCAAAAGCCAACAAGGAAATACTTGATGTGAGTTTTCATCTTTATTTGGTACTATTAAATCTTTGCTGATGGTTTTCTTAATGGGAGGAAAAACGAGAGGAAGATTGTGTCCCCGGAATACCTGTAGCATTGATGACGTTTGCTTTGCATTTATATCAAGTGCACAAGGCATCTTTAGCCTTTGAAGGACTAATTTTCAAATCAGGGTTTCCTATTGCCAGATATAGTGAGCTGGTGTGGAGAAAAGACCAAGATAATTGTATACAAATACTTGAAGGGTATATAAATGTAGGTAAATGGTGAGAAGTTGCAGAGCTCTCTAACCCTGCTCCCACTGAACTCAGTAGGAGACCCATCTGCTCTCATTGTAGTCAGTGGGGGGTTTACCATTGACTTCTATGGGGGCAGAGTTAGACCAAAAGCAGAGCGCTTTTTGAAAATCCTACCTTGGAATGGTACAAGCAATAATGACATGAAATTTTAAAATATCAAATTAAGACTGATTATCCATTAAAACATTCTAACAGTGATATCTATTAGACAATGGAACAATCTGCCAAGAGAAAGTGTGGAAGCCCAATCACTTGAGATGTTTCAAATAAGACTGGAGAAAGATAATAGTGTGACACAATCTCTCCAATTGCTCTCCCAACTCCTCAGGGCTTTACAGAAGTTACGGGATCTAGCTCTAAACAATGTTAAGCTATTTTACTAGCAGCAGAATAGTTGATGGTATTTTAAAATGGAATGAAGATGACAGTATTTTAGGCTAATAATTCCACTCTGTGCCTGCTGTGCATTCCCTCAAAAGTGTGGTTTTGAGATACAGCAGTCACCATTAAAAAATCAACATTTGTTGACAACTGGCGCATCCTTAACCAGGCCAGCCAAATCCTGCAGCCACTCTGTGTGTGGTTAGTCTGTGGGTACCATTGCATTCCCTTTACCTCCCATGGACCTCTTTGTGCATAGGTCATTAACTAACATTGTGCACAGGGACCTTGATTTGGTGCTAAGGGGCATGTTAAACAGTGAGCTTAAGGCAGAGACCATCTCTTTGTTCTGTGTTTGTACAGCGCCTAGCATAGCAGGGTCCAGGTATGTGACTGGGGCTCCTACGTGCTATGGTAATACAAATTATAACAATAATAATGATCACTAATGCTCTTTGGACCCTGATATTTCAGAGTATCATAGATTTAAATGCATGGTTACATAGGACTAAATGAAATGTTTAAAAAAAAAATCTGTCTGGCTCATGTGCCACGGAAACTGTGAAAAACCATCTGGCCTTGTGAACAAATCCAGGGATCACAGAAGCCAGTTGGATTTTATTTTGTTTCTTGGATCTAGCCCATAATTACAAAGGGGAAAAAAAACTCGTATGAATTCCACTTCTAATATGCTTGGACAAGACAGACACTCAGTGACTCACAGGTAGAGCTGGTCTGTGTCTGGACCCGTTCCCAAGCCCAGGCACTATCTACACCAGCCTGGAAGGGGAGATACATTGCACAAGGTTTAGATCTGGTACAGGGTACCTCCCACACTGAGCCAGGGGGAAACGGGGGATGGAGTGTGATTCTGAGTCATAGTCTGCCTCCCAGGGCTGCTCCAAGGGCCGCCCAACAATGTACTGCCCCTTGCTTGGAGATCACGGTATACATATTGTAGAAAAAAAATATGTATGCATATGCTGTAAATATCTGTGAGTGATAAAATATGCATATATTTACATGGATGAACTATAAACCCAGATCCAGGGATCCTTGAGCTTAGGGAACAATCTGGTATTGAGGCAAATCTGAACTTTGCTGTTTGAGCTTAACTTGTATGCATATATACACATACACTTTATGTCATCCAAGAAAAGTTCTATTAAAAGAACCTGAAGCTTGCAAACACAAGCAAAGGTTAGGAGATGCCAGTATAAAGGTTGCTTATGCAACCCCTGTGTGTGTATGCATTTTATGGTACAGTCTTTAATTACATCAGTGATACTCAAACCTCAGTGATTCAGGAGCCAAATTAGCAATCAACATTACCCAAAAGACTGGGGAAATATTTAGTTTATATGTCTCACAGCAAATAAGTTCAATAACTCAGTGCAAGTTGATAACTTAATTGGTTAATAACATAGTAAAAGCCTTCTGATTTGTTAATACCTTAGATTGGTTAATAATTAAATCACGTAGTGTTTTAATATCACTTGCTGCAAAGAGTCACTGGAGACGCATTAAAGAGCCACTTGCAGCTCGAGAGCCGCAGTCTGAATATCACTGTATTACATGATCACATACTATTTGCATGAGTCCTACTAAGCCCCTGCAGCCCTGGGCTGGAGCATGCTCAGTAGCTCAGTGGGACTGGTGTATGCACAGTCTGGTCAGCACATACATAGCTGTGAGAGGCTGAGCGTGCTCACTACAACTGGACACTCCCGAGATTTTAGCTTACAAACTCTTAACAAGTCTCTACTAAGCATGCGCAAACTGTGATTTCGCAGAAGCTTGTAACTTGGGTAATTTGGGGAAATGTTCATGGGAATGGCAAAAGGCATTTCCCTGTCACCGTGGCAATCCCCCTGCCAAATTTCAAGATCCTGCCCCAAAAGCATGGAGGTGCTAGAGCTTCTCAATGAAATGGTTGCAAGCATTTTTTTTTTTAACGTGGGCAAAACACTATATTTTTCCCTACCCTCAGTCGCAGAAGTGACTGAACTATTTTAGCTGAAACTTTCATCAACAACAACAACAACAACAAAAATCAGCCTGAGACTGACACCCGGCCTGGAAAATTTCAGCCTAAATGGTTAAAGTTTGGCAAAATGATAAGCAACTGAAAACATAGTCTCACAATGGGGAGGTATTGGGCAACCTTAGCTATGGGCCACTTACAATAAAGCACTTTTGAATCCTCATTTCATCCTAGAAAAACTTTCTATTTCATATATATTTTAGTGTATTGATATGGCACATCATTTTATACATATACTGTTGAAATACAAAAGAAAAGGTGGTTACTTTCAGGACCAATATGTCAAACAAAATTCCTGCTGATTTAAGTTGTTTTACTAAAAGCTGGCTATGTATTCACAAACACCGTCCATGTATCTGCCCTCTAACAGGCAGACACAAACAAAGGATGCAACCATACTATCAACTCCCTGCTTCAGGAAAACCTATGGCAAAAGGAAAACTCACTGATATTCCTCCTCATGGAATATTTTTAGCCTTACTTAATAACAGAAATAAAAAGGACATTAAAAAGCTGATGTAAACGGTTATGGAGAAAATAATACAAACTTGACAAAAGCTGCCTTGGACCTAATTGTACTAAATTCATGTAGAGCGAAGGAAGGGTTAATTAATAAGCCAAAATGATTGCCTCTGCATTCAGCAGATCAAGCTATTTCCATAGCAGGACAGTAGATTGTGACATGTGTGCTCTTCTGAGATATCAAAGTACTATTTTTTTTAAACAAAGTTCAGATATCGCCACATGATCTTTTTTTCTTTTTCCCATTGAAGTAGGATTCTTAGCAAGCGGCTCTTACCATTTTTAGCACTGTTTACTTTTTAGATGACTTAGTTGATGGAATTCATTCCACATTTCACAGGAAAAGAAAAGATACAAAGCGTTGGAAGCAGAGAGACAGAGAAATAAACAGAACTTCAAAAAGATTTTACTGAACAACTCTCCAAGGTCACTGATCCCTTGGAGATAGTGGCTAATTAATTAGCCACTTTCTGTAAGAAGAATCGCTAGGTATTCAGCATGTAAAACAGCATTTGTTCATATTCAGTTTATTCTCCAGCCACAACTCCTGTTGGCTTTATTAGGGCAGGGCTAATTCAGGAGATTTGTTACGAAATACCAAGCATAGTTGGAGCAGGTCAGAGCGTACCTCAGAGATTTCCAAGATAAATAATTGAAACAAAGACTTGCTTTAATTTAGTAAAATATTTAAAGAGACCTGTGACTGCACAATGGTTCCATTATAAGTTCAATGATTCTTCAAAGAGGCTATGGCCTATTTTACTTTGCAGTATCAGATTTAATAGGCAGTGTCAAATCCTGGAAGAACTCCATACTCCGTGTGGCCCATACACCCACTCCACACATTCAGTTCCCAATTTCCCAGCCTTGAGGTCTGCTCCTTGTAGGCTGTGAAGTAGATGGGCAGTGAGAACAGCTCTGAGTTTGCAGATTTTTCATTCAGCTAAAATGAATTCAATATGGATCTGAGACTAAACAGGAAACAGTACAAGAAACAGACTTTCTTTATTGCTGTGCTTACATGGTTTTTAAGCCCATTGGGATGAACATAATTAGGCCTCTGTTCATATGGAATCATCTTATAGAATGTGTGAGGCATTGAACCAAGAGGTTCTATATAAATTAATCTGAAAACCTGTATAATTTAGTAGAGAATGACATACTTTTCTTCTAATTTTTAAACCATGTAGAATTTAATTGGCAATTATATCCTTCAACTAGAATTCTATAGGTTATTTTCAGTATTTTGTAGTAAGGTGATCATTCTTTATCCAGTTCTATAGTAATGTTCTGTGATCCTTCTGTCCAGGAACCCTTTGTAAAGGGCATCATGAGGGTGGGTTATGTGTCAAACAAAAAACAGAGTTATCCCTCAAAGCAGACCTCTCAACATCATTACCTCAGTATCATGTAATAAATATCATGTGTCAGTAATACATATCATCCTTAGGCTGGCAATGTGAAATAACAGTGCAGTGGCAAAGGAAAATATTGCTCATGGATTTCAGATTTTTTTAACGTCATTGCATAAATGCGCTTCTAACAATAGCCCCGTGCCAGCCTCACAACTAGGTGACATATGTTAAAAGCTTGTTAGATGATGATTAAACTGCTATCATATTGTATTTCTTAAGCCTTTCTAAAGAGCAGAACATTTTCTACCTCCACCACAGAAGTGTCTCGACTTTGTTTGCTTGCATGCTTGTTTTGGGCTGCCATCTGTCAAGGGTGTCTGATGTCATTCCAGATGCGGATTTAAATGCTGACCTAAAAGTTCACTACGTGGAAAATTTCCCACTTAGTTCTGTATTAACTTTGTGTCATAAAAAGAATAACCAAAAGCAATATCCTGTAGATCAGGAACAAAAACAAGTAAAAATATGATGGCTAAACATTAAACCTGATTTTTCCATAGGGCCTCCATTTTTGAGTGCATAACTTTGTGCTTGCAGTTCACAGTGGGTATGAAAACTAGCCTGCAAAAAATGGAAGTCCCTGTTTAAAAACCAGACCCAAAGATGCTCTAAAGTCAGGAGTGAGAAGGGGGAAAAAACCTACACTGGTAATAATTGAATGCCATAACTGGCCATTGCGTGCACAAAACCTTGATAGATATTTATTTTTGGCATGATTGTGTTAATGAATGCGCATGGTAGGTGAGCATTTGCTCACACGTTGTTGAAAATCAGGCCCTAAAGTTCTATCTAATTACAAGGCTGTTCTGATGGAAGGTTGATTTCATCCTGGCTCCCAACTGTATAAAAATGCATTATAAACACCTTCATTATATTGCTCACATTGCCATAACACATAAAAAAAGCTTTACCAGTCAGGGCCAAGACTTTCAAAAATGGTTGCTTAAAATTAGGCTCCTAAATCCTCATTTAGGCTGCTAAATATGTTTCCTGATTTTCAAAAATGCTGGGCACCTAGCAGCTCCCATAAAATTTGAAATTATTAAGTCCTGTTAGGTTTTTGTCTCTGGAAGTTTGCACTGAACACACTGCTTGGTATACAAGAACCAGGAAAATGGGTGGCCCTGGTGCCATTTTAAATGATGTCTTAACATTCAGAATCAGGACCGCTCAATGCAGTGGAAAATATGCATTAGAGACCCAACATTTTACAAAAAGGTTCAGTAATCAGGAAAATGCCAGATTTTTGTTTGTTTGTTTTATTTTTACTACTGCCTCTTGCATCCTAATATTTCTGTCATACATGAGGGACTGTTTCAGGATGTCTTCTCTTTTTCTGATCAGGAAGCTTATGTGATGGCTAGCGTTGACAATCCCCATGTGTGCCGCTTGCTGGGAATCTGCCTTACTTCTACCGTCCAGCTTATCACACAGCTTATGCCTTATGGCTGCCTCCTTGACTACATCCGAGAGCACAAGGACAACATTGGCTCCCAGTACCTTCTCAACTGGTGTGTGCAGATTGCAAAGGTAAATGAATGGCAGCACAATCCATCCAAAACTCTGATCATAACCGAAACCAAGAGATCTGAAAGTATTTAATCTAGCTATCCTTTAGGTCTTTGTATTTTACCTGAGGATAGAAAGGCTTGTTGTACTTGATACTAAAGATAACAACACTTTTCATTTGTGTAGTGCTTTAGATTTTCAAACCATTGTGTAAATATTAACTGATCCTCAGAACATTCCTGCACAGAGCAGGGTTATCACCACTGGACAAATGATGAAACTTGCACAGATTGCAATTGAATGACTTGCCCAAACGTGATGCAGTGAATCAGTGGCAGCAGGAGGGATTAGAACGTGGCAGTTCTTCACTGTCAGTCCTGTGCGATACCATGCTACTCCCCCAATAATCCATAAATGGTTCATTACAAAATGCTATTTCTGTCATACTGTGTCGCATGTGTCGCAGGGCAAATGTGATGGTAAAATCTCTTCTGTGTTGGAGATTAATGCTCTGATTTTGCTAACTGCAGAGGAATGGTGATCAAATGCAGAGCCTTTTGCTACTAAAACACCAGCTCATTCTGATGCTGGTTGTTTATGATCAAAAGACAGTGCCACTAGGTGGTTCTTCAGTAGCATGTGTGCAATAAGTTGGTATATACCTCTACCTCGATATAATGCTGTCCTCGGGAGCCAAAAAATCTTACCACGTTATAGGTGAAACCACGTTATATTGAACTTGCTTTGATCCACCGGAGTGCGCAGCCCCCCCCCCCCCCCCACCCCCCAGAACACTGCTTTTCCGCGTTATATCCGAATTCGTGTTATATCAGGTAGCGTTGTATCGAGGTAGAGGTGTACTTAGCCCAGTTCCAGTGGACGTGTATCCATATAACAAAATCACTATCACATCTGGCACAAATTGACATGTCAGATTCAGCACAGAGACAAAGGAGGAAAGGCAGCATGGAGACTAAATGATATTCTCTAGCCCTTAGAAGTAATCCTCCATTTTAGGGCTGTGCCACCATGGCAGGGCAGTGTAGGGGATATTGCACTGCTCCTATCTAGGCTCTCTCTTTTCTTTGTATAAACAGAGAAGGTCTTTTTCCTGCGCAGTCCATGCTACACCTCTCACAAGCATGAGGTTGCTTAACATTTTTTAATATTCAGTGATCATAGCCATTTGCAAGGTGTCACATTTGAACAACCTGTTCAAACTTTGTTTACCTTGACGTTTCTGTAATTTGATTGAAACCCTGTTGCTCTGACATTTTCATTTAAACTGTACAATGTCAATATGCTGCCTCTGTAGCTTTGGTGTACACCTTGAAAAACGTAATTAGCATGGGAGGGACAAGAGAGATAAAGACAGGAAAGACTGCCCAAATTAGCAGAAGGAAAAACAGTAACTTGGAGATTCCCTGTGCTTACAAAGGAAAAAACCAGCAGCATCAGTAATCTCCCTAACCAGTAGAAGCTTGCATCTGCTGTGTTAACATTTCATAGTGGGTCATTTACAGCACCGACTGTATATTAACGTACCCATTTATCATGCATTTGTATATTATTAACCCAATTATTCCAAAGAATGTTGAGAAAATAGCTGGAGTTACAGTTAATATAAAATCAGTGCATAATAGAGCAACTCAACATATAAAATCAGCGCATAGTAGAGTAACTCAACATTTCAGCTTTGTATAAGCATGAATTGGGACTGCACAGAGCACACAATGGATCACTAGAAATTAAAGTAATGTTGTTTACAAGGAAAATCATTAGCCAACAAGATGTATTGGCTAATTGTCATCATTTATTGATGGCATATGCTAAGTAATGATCTTACAGTCAGTCCTGGGATGTTCTTTAAATAGAGTTATCTTCATAAATTATTCTGTCCCATGTAATGCAGATTTACAGACCTGATTAAATAACTAAGTAAATAAAACTAAGCTACTGTAGCTCATGCAAAAGAAGAAAATGAGGGGCAAAATAGGCCTTATCCTGAGGTAGCTGTGGGTAATTTTGTTGGAATCTAAGTCAGCATTTTCCTTTCTTTATAGAAGGATTTGTCCTGGGAGGAAAATAGTGGTTGAATGTCTAGAGTGGGGCAGAGGGAAGAAGAAAGATAGGGAGCTTGGGAAGCACATTACCTTTCCATCTTCTCTTTCTAAATCCCTGTATTACAGCAGTTACGACGTGTACCCATTATTAAGGTGGTAGAATAGTTCCTATTCTAACATCCCATTTTCAGTCACTAAGTGAAGCATCCCCCTTGTGGACTGACTATTTCTGTGTTTGGGCCAGTTCCAAGGTGACTTTTTTGGAAAGCTGGAGAAAAATCCCTTTAGCCATTTTAAGGTGCAGGAGGATGAAAAACAGTTATCTCATTTTAAAATACCATTGCAACATGGGTCATTAGTAGGGTGACCAGATGTCCCGTTTTTATAGGGACAGTCCCGTTTTGGGGGACTTTTTCTTATATAGGCGCCTATTACCCCCCACCCCCGTCCTGTTTTTTCACAGTTGCTATCTCATCACCGTAGTCATTAGGAAGAGGTTGGTGGGGGGAGCTAAAGGGAGGGAGCAATAGATGTAGTTTCTATCTTTCTTAATGATACTAACAATCTCTAAGATGCTCAGGTCCCTGTAACCCTCTGGTTGCATTATATTCATTTCTGTAATACCTATTTTTAAATTAACCAGAACACATTGCACACTTACTTATTCTTAATCCCTTGAGACCTTGTACACATTCCAAGTTTGCCTGCTATGGTTTGCTTTTGATAAACGTACTGAAGACTTCAGAGATGTATCCACAAACTACACAGCTCCTTTTCCCTCTAAGACTTTTGTAGTGTACTGAACACAATACAGTAAATAAACTTTATTCAGTGTATCATGCAAACCGCCCCTGTTTCTAGTCTGTCTAATTTTAAACTGATTACAGCACCTTCCTGATTTTGCCACTTTTGGAGATTTTATCTCCTCACTACATTTCCCATCTTCCCCATTATTAATTTCTCAGGGGACAAAATTGGTCCTAAAATTGTGACATCTCATTAGTTACACTCTTCTGCGCAACTGAACTGTTACCATTCACAATTGTTAGCTTCTGTTTGATTTTCATGCCAGTTTACCCTCCAACTCAGAGCAACTCCCATCTTCACAGCTACTAACTGACCATCTACCATAGTCTTTTGTGTGGTTCTTTACTAAATGCTCTTCTTAAAATCCACATAAATAATGTTGATCATTTTTCCTATCAATATTTTCTTTGTTACTACATCCATAAATCTTGTCCAATTTTTGGACATGATCTGCTTCTTTAAAAACCCACACTGTTGTTTTTTCTTTAAATCCTAGCAAATCTGTTCATCTCTCTTAACTAACAAGCAGGAAACAAACTCCCTTATGGACCCTTTCACAGTTTATTTTTGTTTCTCTTCCTGTGCCTTTGAAATCATTTTTTAATATACGTTATGGCTCATATATTTCATTAGTGTACAGAATGACTAGCTTTCAGATAAAAGGGTTTTGAAGACCACCTTTAAACTCAATGAATACAAAATGGGGAATAACTGGCTAGGTGGTGGTATGCTGAAAAAGGATCTGGGGGTTATAGTGGTTCACAAATTGAATATCAGTCAGCAATGTGATGCAGCTGTGAAAAAGGCGAATATCATTCTGGGATGCGTTAATAGGAGTGTGATATGGAAGGTAATTGTCCAGCTCTACTTGGCCTTGTTGGGGCCTCAGCTGGAGTACTGTGCCAATTCTGGATGCCACACTTTAGAAAAGATGTGGACAAAATGGAAAGAGTCCAGAGGAGAATAATAAAAATGATAAAAGGTTTAAAAAACCTGACCTATGAGGAAAGGTTAAAAAAAAAATCTGGGCATGTTTAGTCTTGAGAAGAAAGACTGATGGGGGGGACCTGATGATAGTCTTCAGATATATTGAGGACCTGATGATAGTCTTCGGATATATTGTTATAAAGAGGTCAATGATCAATTGTTCTTCATGTGCACTGAAGGCAAGACAAGAAGTAATGGGCTTAATCTGCAGCAAGGGAGATATAGTTTAGATATTAAGAAAAACCTTCTAACTATAAGGATAGTTAAGCACTGCACTGGAATAGGCGTCCAAGAGAGGCTGTGGAATCCCCATCATTGGATGTTTTTATGAACAGGTTAGACAAACACCTGTCAAGGATGGTCTAGGTTTACGTGGCCCTGCCTCAGTGTAGGGGACTGGACTTGATGACCTCTCAAGGTCCCTTCCCGCCCCACATTTTTATGATTCTGTGTGAAGAAAAGTTGAGTGGCTTTAAGAGTGTATTATAGTCCTCTGGTTTATAATATGTAAATCCTGATCCTGCACACAGTTAAGAATGGGTTTAACTGTATATATGAGCAGCCCATTGTCTTCTGTGTAACATTAAGCATGTGCATAAGTATTTGAAGGATCAGGATCTTAAGTAAATTAATTTAAGACTGATTCCTTGCCTCTCAGCTGCTTTGAACCGCTTTACCAAAACCGATTTAGCAGCATAATTCTCTTCTTCCAGACTAGATCAAATGATTTTTCCAATGTAGGCTGTTTTTTTATTGATAGCTCAAGATTCTTTGTTTCAAAAGCTCAGCTCATTAAAGTTAAATGTATTCAATTACATTAACTTACATAGTGGCATTATGCCAGTTTGCTGGGGTGGTTTATTTTGGCAACATTAACCGCCCTTAGTACATTGATGAAGTTTTGCTTAGAAACTTCACTATAAGATTTGATGGTGGTCCAGCTTAATGGTGGGGCAAGAATGGGAGTGGGAGCTGGGGAGAGAATGACTCCCCAGATGCTTTGTCATCACATTAGTAGGATCTTTTTCGTGCTGTTTGTGTAGACTGAAAGTGCTTTCTGTATTAACTGTTCAAAAAACAACAGGGAATGATTGTAGTTCCTAAAAAGGATCTTGAAAGAAGCTTAACAACCTGAATGTTTCTCTCTTTTAACGCAGTTCACACACACAGGGGTGAGGGGGGAAAGCTCCACGGTCAGAAATAGATGTTAGGATCACGGCATAACAAAAGTAAACCAGCACTATTAACCCTTTTATCTGCCTGAAAGAGCTTTACAATCAATATGGAGAAAGATGTCCTATTCTTCCCTAAGAGGAAATTGTATAAAAAGAGTATACATAGTATGTCAAGTGTTCTCTAGTCACAGGGGTTACTGAAACTGTTTCAAGGGGAACCTGAAAAAGAGCTGTGTCATTGAACTCAGACATAAAAATATAGGGTTTTTTGTTTGGTTGTTTTCCATCATCTCTGTGACAGTATGCCTGAGTATTACCAGTTACAAAACAGGGTCTGCCATGATGAGGCAGAGAATCAACTGCTTGGTATTATTACTTGTTTTTGATTGAACTGGAAGAAGAGTCTAATGATGTATTTATAGTATATGTGAAGTTAACCTGTACGTATATCGACATATGTATATTAACATGGTGGCCAAATTCTACTCTGAGTCACACTGAACTCAGTCGGGTTGCACAGAGCAGCATTTGGCCCATTGTTAGAAAGTAACATCCTGTATGTAGATTTCTTGGGCTTGATCCCAGTCAAGCTGTGCCCATTTACCCACGCTGCAGATCTGACCCTTTATCTTCCCCTCTCCTGTACAGAGTGAGTGTGGGTGGTAGAGAGAGAGAAGTATGCCAATTGCATGTCATACGTATATTGTAGGGAATGAGCTACTTGGAAGAACGTCGCTTGGTGCATCGTGATCTGGCTGCCAGGAATGTCCTTGTGAAGACTCCTCAACATGTGAAGATCACGGACTTTGGACTGGCAAAACTGCTTGGTGCTGAGGAAAAAGAGTACTATGCAGAAGGAGGCAAAGTAAGAAGTATCAGATAACCATCTTTATGTGTTTCATTGGATGTAGATATTTGCACTTGTGTATGAATCTTCATTTTAAAAATGAGACAATCAGGGTGGGATTTTCAAAAGTGCTCAGCATTGGCTTAATTCTGTTCCCACTGTAGCCATTGTGAGTCCATTGACTTTAATGCAAGCAGAGTTAGCCCCATGTAACTTCAGTGAGAACAGAGGTAGGCCGATGATGAGCCCTTTTGAAAATCTCCACCCATAATGTCTGGGAAAAGCCAAGATGAACTTTAAAAAAAGGGCAAGTCTGAATTCTGTCATGTAGACAATACCAAATAATGTGTAGTTTATGAACAGAAAGGGAATACTATATATTTATATATGAAGAAGGGCCTGTCAGATCTCATTCAACACCCCAGTTTGAGGGAATATGCTCTAATGAGAAATTAAAGAGAAGCTGCTTGTGAATATTGCAGAGAGAATAAATGGAAACCATCTGATCTCCGATCAGTCTTCACTGTACAGCCTGGGATTGGATTTGTGCCCTGATCTGATATGAGATGTTTAAACAAAAAAAATCTTATAAAAGTTCAACTGTTAAGAATTTTGTAAAACTGAGTTATCAGAGATATTTGTACTAAAAAGCAAAATATTATCCAAGTTCCCAGACTCAGAGTGACAAATCAAAACAATGATAATTGATCCCTGTAAAACTCAAGTTGCTTGCTGTACATCTCAGATTTTCTGCCTACGGTCAAATTATTGATATAAACAACTCTGTTGTTCTAACAGTATTGCTCCTAGATTTGAGGTAGGTGTCTTATGGCTTAACTGGATCTTCCTAGGTTCCTATCAAATGGATGGCTTTGGAGTCCATTTTACACAGAATCTACACCCATCAAAGTGATGTCTGGAGTTATGGTAAGTCTAAAAATGTGATCATAATGATTTTAGATGGGTGAGAACAATTGTAAGATTTGTTAGGGACACTACACAGCCAATTTTTCTCCAGATATTCAGTCATCCTTTTATGATACTTATAACAGGGTCTTATACCAAAATGATGGGAAGAATAAATATTAATGATGGGCCAAATCTTGAGCTTCTTAACGAAGCAAAATTCCCATTGATTTGAATAGGGAATGAGATTTTGTCCTTGAAAGAGAGACAGTCAAATTGTTTTTATACATATATACACATTTTGGGGGGATAGGGAGGAGCATGTTCTTTGGAGAAGTTGTGCAGGTATACTTCCCAAACGGCACAATGTTAAAAGTAACCAACCTCCCTAAAAAGTAGCATGATAACGGGAGGTCAGCATAGCTAGCCTAAAAGCTAAAACCATAGTGGCAGATTGACAGATTGTGTAAATTGGGCCAGATGTCAGCTGATGTAAATCAGCGCATCTGTTGTCTTCAATGGAGCTACGCTGATTTACACCAACTGACAATGGCTAGAAGTAATTACCTTCCTGAGTCCATGAGCAAACAAGTGACACAGTGACTAAGTAGAGTTCACAGTATTCCATAGGGAATATATTTAAAAGGTTGATAGACTCATAGCCTTTGAACTAAAACATACAGAGACTATTGCAATTGAATAGGTAAAAGATTCGTTTCCCGGAAAATAGCACGTTTAAGGTAGACTGAATTTTGGGCTTGAATGCCCATTACATTGGCCCATAGGTGTTTGAATCAATATTTGATTCAAAAGGAAATTGTGTTATATGGTCATTTAAAACTCCATAAAGTCCGGTTGTTAGGACACCAATCTCCTTTATGTAGGAATATACACTAATTGTTTTTTTACTGAGATGATACCTGAGAATTCATTGTATACACGCTTCCTGGAGTAAGCCAACCTTTAATTTAGGGGGTTTAGGAAGAAATTTTCCCTGGGATCAGGTAATTTCATAATGGCTGTAGCACTATTTCTTTCACTTTTCTGTGAAGTGCTTGGAGATAGGTAGACTAAAAAGACCTTGGGTCTGATCAAGTATGGAAATTCCTATGTTCCTATTAATCCACTTAAATACATTTTCTTCACATCCAAATTCCTATTTTAGGGCCCATGCAAATGGACAGCATCATGTAACGGCTACAGCTTGGAATAGGTGATGTGCTGAAAGAAAATATTTTGCTGCAGTTAATTTAGAAAGCCTTCAAAGAGAGGAGATATTATTTTACCTCCAAAGAGATTATTTAAAACAATAACAAAACTTTTATTTAAAAAAAAAAAACACTTTGTGGGTTGGAATCAGTAATTAGCAACCTAATACCTTTCTGTTGTGAAGAGGTGAAGTCATGAAGTAGAGTTGAACATTGAGATTTTACCTTCTGTAAAACCCTAAAAAAAAAAAAAAAAGAAAGAAAAGGCCTGATTATTTCAATTTGTTTTGTTAACTCGGACCTCATTAAAATAGCTACTTCTGTAAGATGGAACATTTTCTTCCTCCATGAACAGTTGGCAAGTGAATAAACAATGATGGCCCCTTTAGTGAGCCTTAGCAGCTCTAAAACAAAGGTTAATGCCTCCACACTCTCTCTGATACGTGCTGTTCCTAGGTCAAACAGACCAGGTCTGCTGTGCTTTGGGAACATCATGAATCCTTGGTGACCTGATGAGACTCTAACATTGTCCCTTTCTCCTATTCTTCAGGTGTCACTGTTTGGGAATTAATGACATTTGGATCAAAACCATATGATGGCATCCCAGCCAGTGAAATTTCATCTGTCTTGGAGAAGGGCGAGCGTTTGCCTCAGCCTCCTATCTGTACTATTGATGTCTATATGATCATGGTCAAATGTGAGTTCAGTTCTTGTACATGTCCATGTAGTTCATATTAGTAAGAAGGAAAATGGTTCTAGTTAGGGAACATTTGCATGCTATGCTGTATTCCTGAGATTCACAGGAAAACATACCTATGTGCTATAGGAGAAGAGTAACATCACTGTGGTATGTTCAGACATCTCATGCTTCAGACAAGACAGCAGATTTTTCTTTAACTACAGCTCAGAGTCCAAATTCTCATTTCTCATCATTGTGGTAGTGAGCATGGTATAAAAACTTAGATTACACCAGTGTAAATCCAGATTAACCGTGGAATTACTCCAGAATTACTCTAGTGTTGCTGAGGTCAGAATATAGCCCCAGGTTTCCAATTTTGCACACTGAATCATCAATCCTGACTTCTCTTCCTGTGTTTTCATTTAATTTCATTCAATAACAAACACAATAGGAAAAAATGTCTGAGAACCGCAGACAATCACAATATTAGTGGCTGCACATGAAGACTTTGAGCCAGGATCCTGAGCTTCATAACTGGTCTGACCCCCAATTTTTTATTACTTAGACACAGTCATTACAATAAATGCACAGGCGCTAGCAGATTTGGTAAAGCAAGTTTCTGCGGCATTGGTTCCATGTCCTTATTACTGTAAGTACATTAGAAGACATTCACAAGCAGCCCACTAGGTGGCGTTTAAACACTTTCTTAGATAAAATGTACAAAGTCATCAAAGAGGTTAAACTTTTCTTTGACTCAAAGAATTTACTTCTACTAATGTTATGGTTTTAGGAATCTCTGAATACATACTTCTTACTACTACTGATAACAATAAATCACTCATCCGAAAAGGGTTAGCCTGCTAAAATGAGATCTTGACACATCTAATGGACCAACTAGCTGATTTCACAACCTCCCTTAGTGCATGGTAATGAAGCATTTATACACATGCTATGCAGACAAAGCACTGACAATGATACTTCACTGGAATTCACAATATTTCCTGATTTAGTGTAGTTCTAGAAATATTAAGCAGCAAGTTAAGACAGGTCTGTGGTTGAATACTAATAGAGATTCTACTCAATTGCGGGGTAGGGGAGATAACAGAAAATGTGGGAATGGCAGAGGTGCTTAAAGACTTCTTTGTTTCGGTTTTCACCAAGAAGGTTGGCAGTGATTGGACGTCTATCACATAGTGAATGTCAGTGAAAATGAGGTAGGATCAGAGGCTAAAATAGGAAAAGAACAAGTTTAAAATTACTTAGATGGGTTAGATGTCTTCAAGTCACCAGGGTCTGATGAAATGCATCCTAGAATACTCAAGGAGTTGACTGGGGAGCTATCTGAGCCATTAGCGATTATGTTAGAAAAGTCATGGAAGATGGGAGAGATTCCAGATGACTGGAAAAGGGCAAATATAGTGCCCATCTATAAGAAGGGAAATAAGGACAACCTGGGGAATTACAGACCGGTCCGCTTAACTTCTGTACCTGGAAAGATAATGGAGCAAATAATTAAGCAATCAATTTGCAAACATCTAGAAGATAATAAGGTGATAAGTAACAATCAGCATGGATTTGTCAAGAACAAATCGTGTCAAACCAACCTGATAACTTTCTTTGACAGGATAACAAGCCTTGTGGATAGGGAGGAAGCGGTATATCTTGACTTTAGTAAAGCTTTTGATACTGTCTCTCATGACCTTCTCATAAACAAACTAAGGAAATACAATCTAGATGGAGTTACTATAAGGTGGGTGCAAAACTGGTTAGAAAACCATTCCCAGAGAGTAGTTATCAATTGTTCACAGTCATGCTGGAAGGGCATAATGAGTGGGGTCCCGCAGGGATCAGTTCTGGGTCCTGTTCTGTTCAATATCTTCGTCAATGATTTAGAAGAAGAGCTCTGTGTAAACTTGAAAACTTGTCCCTTCCACCTACAGAAGTTGGTCCAATAAAAGATATTACCTCACCCAGCTTGTCTCTTTCAAAACCTGGGACCAGCATGGCTACAACAACACTGCAAATAACGATTAGTAAGAAGATAGTTAGATATGTTCATCAGTGATTTAGATAATGGCATAGAGAGTTTGTGGATGATACCAAGCTGGAAGGTGTTGCAAGTGCGGTGGAGGATAGGATTAAAGTTCCCAATGATCTGGACAAACTGGAGAAATGGTCTAAAGTAAATAGCATGAAATTCAATAAGGACAAATGCAAAGTACTCTACTTAGGAAGGAACAATCAGTTGCAAACATACAAAATGGGAAATGACTGCCTAAGAAGGAGTACTGTGGAAAGGGATCTGGGGGGCATAGTGGACCATATGCTAAATATGAGTCAACAGTGTAATACTGTTGCAAAAAAAGCAAACATCATTCTGGGATGTATTAGCAGGAGTGTTGTAAGTAAGACACGAGAAGTAATTCTTCCGCTCTACCCCATGCTGATTAGGCCTCAGCTGGAGTATTGTGTCCAGTTCAGGGCGTCACATTTCAGGAAAGATATGGACATATTGGAGAAAGTCCAGAGAAGAGCAACAAAATTAATAAAAGGTCTAGAAAACATGACCTATGAGGGAAGATTTAAAAAATTAGGTTTGGTTAGTCTGGAAAAGACATAACAGTTTTGTAAGGTTGTTACAAGGAGGAGGGAGAAAAATTGTTGTTCTTAAACTCTGAGGATAGGACAAGAAGCAATGGGCTTAAATTGCAGCAAGGGAGGTTTAGGTTGGACATTAGGAAAAACTTCCTAACTGTCAGAGTGGTTAAGCACTGGAATAAATTGCCTAGGGAGGTTGTGGAATCTCCATCATTGGAGATTTTTAAGAGCAGATTAGACAAACACCTGTCAGGGATGGTCTAGATAATACTTAATCCTGTCTTGAGTGCAAGGGACTGGACTAGATGACCTCTCGAGGTCCCTTCCAGTCCTATGATTCTATGAGATCTGAAATACAATTTTACTGGTAAAAGATCAGCCAAATAAAGACACACACTTCTAATCTGAAAAGAAATCTAAACATGAGTTTCTACCAAAGGGCCCATTGAAGCCAGTGGGAGTTTTACCAACTATAATGGGATCAGGCCCAATATTGTATTTAGTAATGAAGACTGTAGAAACACTTAAAGGAAACCTTAACTGAAATATAAAAAAAAAATCATGTCAACTTAGAAAGACAAAACTAATAAAATGTGCAAAATAATCACTACATCAAATTATAAATAAAAATCTAAACCAATAAAATATTAAACATTAAAATATGTATAAAATTAACTTAATATTATATATTAAAACCTGTTTTCAATCTAATGGGCCAGTTTCTGCCCTAGTGTAAATCACTATAGATCCATTGACTTCATTTAGAATAATTAGCAATGAAGAAAGATGCTGCCCCTCCGTACAGAAGTTAGGGCAGCGGAAATGCATCTCACCACTGGAGCCAACTGTAAATTGGGTTTTCTTTCAAAGTTGTTATAAAGCAAAGTTTATTGGTTTTAAAGGTACGTGACAATATTCAACCCGCAGCTCAATTAACCAGCATGTTTTTAAAAATGAATTGACATTACTTTACAATAGCAACCATATCTCAGATTCCCCATTTACCCCAATAGTGAGATGAATTTCCTGCATAGGCTGGAGTATCTGAGCAAAGTGGAAGCCATTATTGCAGAAACAGGAATTCAGTAAACCACAGGGAGACATGTGTTCAACTCCTTGCTCCAATGAATATTTAAGGATTTAGACAAAGTGGAATAGCTTCAACAGGAGAGACTGAGCACAACCCACCCTACCATAGTCCATAGCCTAGTGGTTAGGATGCTCACCGGGAGAGGAAGATCTGAGTTTGTCACTACTCCAGAGTGGGGATTCAAACCTGGGTGTCTCACCTCCCAAGCAAGTGCCCTAACTACCAGGCTAAAGATGACTTGCATGTTTATTTTCTTTCTTTCTTTCTTTCTTTCCACTCATCCCTTCCTCTGAAGCTGGTTCCTGGCCAAAACTAATCATGTCAAATTTACGGATAGTGTCAGATCAGCTGAAACTCCATTTTTCAACAAATCAACTTTTTGTCCCAGAAAGTCTGTCCAGTTCTGTTAGCCTATCTGTAGGGTGCTGTGCATAGGAGATGATTAAAAATCAACAGTTACTCATGGGGCCCTGTTCTGGTCTCAGTTACCCAGGTGATTTCCATGAGAGATGCACCTGTGTAAATGAGAACAAAATTGGCGCACTAGAGGCAAATCCAGATACCGTCACCAGGCCAGGTACTGGTCAGATATATAGGGCAATGGGGGAGAGAATCCTCCCCACACCATTGTGGAGTGGCTCTGAAGCTGACATAGCCTTCACAGATCTGCCAGGTGGAGTGGAGGTATGTCAGGGCCTGCATAGCATTGCATCCCCTCCCTGTCTCCTGGTTCACCACTCCCTGCCCCATCCTGTGGGCTGCTATGTAGTGAGCTTGTGTGGAGCAGGGATCCTGACTTTTAGGAGGACTATGCAAGCAGGAGTTAAAAGAGGGTACTCCCTGCATGTTGATGCTAAGCAGGAATCTTTCTACCATGTCTTCTATTTTTTTGGTCTTGCAAGAAGAGCAGGGGTGTTGTTCTTAAATGCCCAAAAGGAACAAAGAATAAAGTCTAATGAAAAGCTGATGTGAATGGATTTCTATTTGTTACAGTTTGATGTAACAGCTTCACATGTACCAAGCACAATACAGTTCCTATCCTTTACATCTTATTTTAAAACTCTCTTCAGGTTTAATAGCTAAGATCATTTGATTTGTGCTTTGTTTTCCATACTGTCCCTTCAGGCTGGATGATAGATGCAGACAGTCGCCCCAAGTTTCGTGAGTTGATATCAGAATTCTCCAAAATGGCTCGAGACCCTCAGCGCTATCTTGTTATACAGGTATTGATCGGTTTGTTTTACCAGGAAACCAAGATGTCAAACGGTCACTTAGAAAGATGCCCAGGGGAAATAACAGCAAATATGAAATAATACACATGGTATGCTCACAGATGAGCAAGCTAAGGAGTTCAATGATTCCATGACCAAATCTCAAAAGAAACCGGACCACATGAACATCAACAATATAGTCTCATGCTACTTCTTTCAGTTAAAGAAAACTGTAACACTGATTGTTCTAGTCCATTTCCAAGTTGTTACAGTAAATACTTTAGCATATTACCATATTGCTTAAAAATAAAGAACAGAACAAATAATAAATATGGATATGAGGAACAGAAATGTGACTAAGAATGTCAGGTTACTTCATCTTTCATAGAAGCAAAGAAGTTACAGGAAAAGACCTGTTAGACCACTGAGTCCATTTCTCTGCCCAGGCAGGATTGTGCTCTTCAGAACATTTGCTAACATTTAATGTGGAAAGAAGAGCTACTTAGGAGAACAGCAGCAGTAGCAGCAGAAATCAGCTGCTTTGCTGTAGTGCAGGCAGGAGGGTGTCCAGCAAGCTGCTCTTACTGTGGTTTGGTTGACAGGGAGATGAAAGAATGCACTTGCCAAGCCCTACGGACTCCAAGTTTTATCGGACCTTGATGGAAGAGGAGGACATGGAGGACATTGTTGATGCAGACGAGTACCTCATTCCACACCAGGGATTTTTCAACAGCCCCGCCACATCCCGGACTCCCCTCTTGAGTTCGTTGGTATGATATTTCATCCATGTTCACACACCTAACTGTTTAGAATTAGTCATTTCCCAGGTCAGACAATATTTTTCTCTTTTTAAAATATCTTTTCTCTCTCTCTCTCTTTTGAAGAGTGCTACCAGCAGCAATTCAGCCACAACCTGCATTGATAGAAATGGGGTAAGTAAATGTGAGCAGCTACTGTTAGAAGTATCTCATCACTGTGTTAATGTTGTGAACTGAATTAAAGAATCAAGTCTTGATTTAGCAGAGATAGTGCCTCAATTTCATCACCAGATGTTGGCTTTCTCTTCCTCCCCACCCCTTTTTTTTCTGCACATACACATACCTGTACACACTAGCCTCTATGAAATAGTCTATTCTATACTCGATTTCTTAACCTGTACCTTTAACCTAGCAGAGATACCCCGTGAGGGATGACAGCTTTGTCCAGCGCTACAGTTCAGATCCAACTGGCATCATCTTGGAAGACAGCATAGATGATGGCTTCCTGCCTGCTCCAGGTGAGTACATCTGCTAGGTATCACCTGATCCTCAAGTTCATTCATTGATCAGCAACTTGGAATGCCATCGGCTTCTCTTTTAGATCTTTGAGGATTCTTGGTGATCTCTGGGTAATCATTTTCCTTCCCCTCCCTCAGCAAAGGATCCCTAAAGATCCCCACAATTTTTCGTCACTGGTCAATAAATAGGGGTGGGAAAATTGTGTAGAATTTTTCTTTTCATTTTTTTCCTAGATCTTTTCTGACAGCTTTTTGACCACATATCATTCACCATCACCACCAATCAGATTTCTACTGTTTGTTGTGGGTGCCTTATCAAGGTTTTTTTTTTCTTTTTTCTACCAATCAGACATTTCAGAAAGTCTCTTCTAAGAACTCTTTAGTCCTCTTCATTGTTTTTATTGTAGAAACTCTGCTTCTTGTTATTGCTGTTTTACTGCTTTCCAAACAGAAATATATTCAAGCAGAATGGATGGCACAATGAAATACACAGTGTTGCTAACCGCAGTCTCACATGTACTTGTATAGTAGTTCTTTGTAACCAGAACTGGTTGACTTAAAAGATCAGTAAGAGTGTTACAAGGATGTTTTCATAAAATGATATACTCGCAATGCTTTGTCCTCAAATAGTACAGCAGTTGAGTAAGGGAAAGAACCAGCATTGAGCATTGTAATAGTGGGATATGGGGTCTCAGTTACTGTTGGTCTTTTATTTATTTATTTATTGATTGATTGATTGCATTTCCATTGTCTTTAAGTATTTCTCCAGATATTTGGTTGCTCTCAGCTAAACTCCCTGGCTCAGATTTCAGAACACTCATGGGGATTTAGGCAAACACACTTCACTAAAAGCCATGGGAAATGTGTGGCTAAATTCCCTTGGCTGCTTTGAAAATCTGATTCCTTGAACCTTTGTTCAATGGAACTTCCTGCCTTTGGCTTAGTCTTGGAATCCTGAGAAAGATCCAAAAGACTTGTGGGCTGATGTGTGAAAAGATTGTTTCCACGTGATTAAAAATACACATCAGATCATTTAAAGGGCTGCATTAGTTACATATCTTTATTGCTTGCTTGCTTTCTTTTTAAATCTCAGAATATGTCAATCAGTCAATCCCCAAAAAACCATCGGCATCTGTAGAACAGAATCCAATCTACAACAACATCTCCCTCCCAGTAAACCCAAAGCCCTCTACAGCTTCAAGCTATCAGAATTCCCACAGCACAGCAGTGAACAACCCAGAGTATCTCAACGCAAGCCAGTCTCCTTTTGTCAAAACGGTTTTTGAGAGCTCCCCGTACTGGGACCAAACAGCCAATCACCAAATAAATCTGGACAATCCTGACTACCAACAGGACTACTTTCCTAAGGAAACTAAGGCTAATGGCATCTTTAAAGTTCCTGCAGCAGAAAATCCTGAATACTTAAGGGTAGCAGCACCAAAAAGTGAATACATTGAAGCCTCAGCATGACCACAGAAAAACTCTCTCTTCTTGCAGTAATACAAACTAAAATCCAGATGAACCACCTGGCTGCTGCAGGATCAAGCTATGAACTGACAGAAGAGCAATCACAATTCACTGACAGACACGCTTTTCCTTTCAAGCTGGTGGGCTGAATTCACCAAGCTCATTTTACTATATATTTGGGGCTTTTCCTTGTCCATCCACATACATAACTTAGGCACATACCATACACATGCATGCATGTTGGACTAGAGCAAGAACTTCCTGCAGATAAGAAATTGCAGATGCATTCCTTTTGTTTTCAAATGGTAGCATTATAAAAAGCCATTTTGGGATTAACTGTAAGAATTTCTTTCTACAATGCATATTTTTATAAACATTTCTAATGGAATTTTTGGATCTTTTACAAGATGAGACGCTTGCTTGTTGTACTGTTATGTGACTCTCGGACCACGAGGAAAAAAAAGAAGCAATACATTATTAAATCCCCTGAGAAGAGGTGGTTGTTTTTTTTCAAACTCTTGAAAGTTGAATAGCTATTCCAAATTATTGGATCTTAAATATTGACTTTATTTACTGTACTGGTACAAAGAGGAAAAAAATGAGTCAGAGAGAAGTGTGGAGATTCTGCTTGATGAAGTAGTTTTTAAAATGGAACAGGTTGGTGAAATTTTATAACCCACAGTGTATTTAGCACAAGGACTGGATGGCAGCACACATTACTTTACTGACCACTACTGTTGGAGACCAGCAGGAAGAACTCAGCACACAGAAGAGTTGTTTGTAAATGTTTATAAAGTGCTCACAAGTCTGTTTTCTGTATGTTGAATGCAAACCTTTCTTTTTTCCATTCCATTGGTTAGCTCTAGATTTGTCAAATTACATTTTTAACAAATTTTTTAAAGATGTTGCTATGACTGAAAAATGAAGTGTCGGTTCCCTTTGTCTCAATCTCATTTGGACAAACTTTCCATAAAGAGCAAGGAAATGCAAAAGGTGTTAATTGGGTTATTTGTGAGAGAACTGGTGATCAGAGTGCAACTACACTAAATTAAACTTGGCTAAGACAAAAAATGCAACCCAAGGAAATGAGATTTTGTTGGTTTTTTTTAAAATAGCTCAGTCAAAAAACTTTTTTCCTGTATAAAAATTGCAAAGAAAAGGGGGGGGGGAAATACATCAATATACTCTGTTAAACTTGTGGCAGAATATTGCCAATTGCTGTATTACTGTGCGGGAATCCGTTGTCTCTTACACGACTACAGCTGCTGTGTTAGGGTGGTCTCTTTATGCTAGGTATAAAGAAAATACAGTGATAATGAATCAAAGAGGAAAAAGAATAGTCGGAAGTGTTTGAATGCAATTGCTTAGTTTACTCTTCTGAAATCGGGGACTGGGAATGCCACAGGCTTCTTTGAAGTCCAAGCCTGGTTGTCTAATTGTCACAGTGGAATAGGCCAAATCAATATTTGGTTTAATAATAAATATACAATATATCTATTGTACATAAAACCATTGTAGCACAAAAAGTTACAGAGATTGGTTCTCTTTAAGTTGTGTGTAGTTTTTAAAACTCCTGAAGTTCTTTTAATACCTTTTGTTAACATTTTTGCTGTCTTCTTTGAAAGGAGTAGGGAAAAAATAGTTAAAGCATTACAAAGAGTAATAGTAATATGGAGGCATTCCTCCACTGTCTTGCTGGAAAGAATATTTTAGCCAAATAGTTGGATCTGAAGCCAGATGTGAAGCAAGCGATTTGCATGCTAAGATCCATAATTAATAGTTAATCATTGGAAAATTACTTGAGATGACATAAAAACTGTAACAGAAAATATGTAACATGTATACTTGAGACATCAATGCAACCTATAGAATCAGGGAATGGTCAAATTTCACTCCTCCTCTGCGATGTTTGGAATACCTCAATGTAAATTCCAGTTGAAATATTGCATTTGAGTCCAGGATCAGGCCCAAAGCCCTTAAAATGTTGTCATGGCAGGTTTGTTTTGTTGGCTTTTTGGGGGGGGAGGGGTGAAGACTGACTGTGTAAAATCTCTCATGTTAGATCAATGTAATGCAGACTGTCATTGAAAACCAGTACACGTATAATAATGTGTCTCTAACAGTACAGAGTCTGGAGCTGGAGTGCAAAGGTGATCAATTTATTGTTATCCTCTTTGGGCACATCTCACTCACAATGATTGGAGCCCAGCCACAGCCTTACAGGGAATATGTAACAACTTGTATTATTTCCTTGTAACTAAAACATTGAAAAAAATTCTGCTCTCAAGTACAGTTTACCCCAGATCTATACTTGTGTACCTGAGAGCAAAATTTTAATGCCATGTTCAAAATGCGCCAGACACACACACGCTCACATAGACACACACAGTCATTTTAACAATCTTTTTATCTTTTTTCCCCCATTAACAAGCTCACATGGGGATTGTATGTTTGTCAGACGACTTTCCAACAGACGTCATGGATCATTTACTAAGTCTACTACTCAAAGCAATACAGTACAATACAGTACTACATCTTTTCCTACAGTCTTGCCAATGTTATTCCCAAAATGTTTCAGTGACATTTTTAGCTTTAAAAGTGTTTATTAAAAAAAAAAAAAAAAAACACTAAGTTACCAGCATTATGTAGCATGGAAACTATTTAATACAGATTAACCTCTCTACATTTTTTAAATGGTTCCTGGAGGATTTTGTAACATGACCACCACGAAAGCCACTGAGTGTCACGCAGCTATATCCTTTAAGAGTGTTTAAGAAATCTAAGATTGAGTTCTCTTTTTTTATTTATTGTTTAATAGAAAACATAGCAGAGAGAATATAGGAGCCAGCTTCTGATGCAAGATTGTCTGTAATTTATGAACTATCCTAATTTATGTAGTACAGACTCTAGGTTTATGAACTAACAATATTTTTAAATAATTCTGATAAATGTGTCATGACTTCCTAATAGGCAGCCCTAAGTTATTCAAACACCAGCAGAAAAGAAGGGCAATGAGCACATTAGCATATCAGCTCAGCTTCATTGTATCAAACCATTTCAATGCATTTAAAATAAGTAAATGTGTGGTTTAAATGATCTGATTTTTTTTACTGGAGCACACAAATTGTGCAGCAGCAAAGATTCCTCTTTGTATTGTAGCGATCTAAACGAATCCATGGGAGTTATGTGTCACTTTCACCTTTGTTGTGGAATCCTGATAAGCTGCTGTTATACTGTATCCAGGACTATAACCCTTCTCCTTCTGCATCTCAGGCAATTTAGTCAGGCCTCTCTATAGCTGAGATAAAGGTGAACCATCTCAGCTGGTAGTAGTCTAAAGTCCCTTATCCTTTCTGTGGGCAAGTCACTAGAGGGCAACAGTGAGCATATGCGCCTGTACACAGGCATAAAGGCAATGATAAATTACACTTCAAGATCTCTTACAGATCACCTCCTCTAGAGTGTGCTAGATTTCAGAATAAATCGTACAGTTTCATATGATGACTATGAAACAGCTGTGTGTCACCACTCAGTGATCTACAATAAAACAATCAAACAAACCTAAGTGGCCAGTGAAGTATCACAAAGCCCATGTAGCTTTATCTGTCCATAACCAATTTGCTAGAAGATTTATGAATCTAGCCCCAGGATCCAACTGATATGAAAAAGACTGTAGGTATAACTGAGCAATATTTCACTGGTATCCAAGTTGCTCACTGGTTTTTGTCAAACGAGGGTATTAGTTGCTGTGTTGGAATGGGATTTCGTGGTTTTTGTATTATAGAGATGGTCTGTATAACAAGAAAAGGTTTTTTATTATATTTAAAGTGTGATTACAGATGTATTGCTATATAAATTGTTACAGCATTAGAGTAGAACCTAATTATAACGTAGACTATATATATATATATATATCATTTTTCCTGGGCATTCAGAGTGGTCTCCATTATAAAGTGGTCAGAGCTCCTCCAGTTTAAAACTAGGAGAGTAGCTAAAGGAGAATGTTCTTGCAATATCTGAGCAAAACGCAGATTCTCATTTTGAGTAGTTTGCAAGGAAATTAAAATTGCAAGTTGATTAATAATAAAGCAGCACCAATTATGCCATTATGATTAAGAGTCTATAGTCAGGTCCATTATAAAAGAGTTTCCCTAAATACTAATACATGATAGACCAGAACCATTTTAAAGGGTGGTCTATCAGGAGTTGTGTGCATAAAATGTCTTTTTAAAAAATATGCCTGAATAGAGAGAGACCTACCAGAGCACAACAGCTTTTAAAGGATCATAGACTCTCACATGGGAAAGAGTTTTAAAATATTGCCTCTAATTTCTCACATAAAGAGGAATGACTCTGAACAGCATTGTGTGTACTTACCATACCACAATCACTAGCTTAGCAACTAATATGAAATTAATGTTAAAATGCTATTTTTAAACACTACATTTCAACATCATAAAGGTAAACTGCAAAATACCGGAAAAAACAAGGTTTAAGTCAGAATTTTCAAGTTCATTTGATGTTTTTCAGTGTTCTGTGTACAGTGCAAAAAGAACAGGAGTACAGACTAACACGGCTGCTACTCTGAAACCTGTGTACAGTGCAGTGTACTATAGCTCACTTGGCTGTAAATTGTTTTGTTTTGCACTGGGAAGGAGCTGGCTTGGGAAATGGTGAAAATGTTTCAATATATCATAAAAAGTAAATTTTCTGCAGGGTCCGATGCCCTTGTCTCACTTCCAAGTGAAGCGAAATAACCTGATGAATTTCTTTGGTCAGAGCACTTAGGAATACATGGCGCTCCTCAAGTTTTTTTAATCTTTAAGGTTGATTTGCTGCTCCTTCCTATCCCATTCAGCTGATCTTTAGGGCCCTGAAGTGATAGATAGCATTGCATTTCCTCTGAAAGGAAACAGGCCTGCATGGGATGGGGCGGCTGTAGGCAGAATTATATAGAGGGACCATAGCCAGGGAATCTACACACAATACAGATCCACTGGCCCAAAATTTTCTTAGAGGGGAAGGCACAGCAGTCATTGCCTACTACTTCAGCTCATGATGATAGCAGCAATTATGAGGGGCTAAGCAGGCGCCCTATGCCCTACCTGCTGATTGGGAGGAAAATCCTCTCAACTTCCACATAGGTTTGGGTGTTGTTGTTTTTTGTTTGGTTGGGGGGGGGGGTTGTTTTGTTTTGGGGGGTTTTTTGGTGCAAAACCCATTTACTCAGGCTTTGTGCTACAAATGTGAATTTTATCCTGTGCACAGAAGATCAAGTATGTGTATTCCAGATCGAATTTAACAGGACCACAGGACTTCAAATGATTCAAGCGCTTCATACTGAGAAGTCCATGAGGTGTCCTCAGTCTGTCTGGTGATGAATAACTGAATGTCAATGAGACACTTTGCATTTCCTGACAAGCATTCATTTTTCAGGTTAGAAGTTTAACATCTACTATAGTCCACAAGCTGCTACCTCTTCACTGCCTGCTGGTAAAATTGCCCTAGCTTTTTTTTTTTTTTTTTTTTTGGGAACACATTTCTCTGTGAGAAAACACTTTAGTCAGGACAAAGTGAGAAGATGTATCTCTTTGTATCCCCCCTTCCTGAAGAAAATGTACAGTAATGAAATTTTAAACTCTGTATAGTTATACTGCCAAGCGGGACACTTCACCCGAGTGTTTTGTAATGTTGTTGTTAAATCACCACTAAACCGGATTTTTATATTGAAATCCCATTTTTTTAGCTTTGCTTTCCCAATACGTTTTGTTTCTTCTCTGCTCTAACATATGCCTTTTAAAAGACTTTTTTTTAAAAATAAAATAAAATAAAATAAGGAAAAAAGATTTATCAAAAAGAAAAACAAGACACCTTTACGTAACTTTTTAAATGGTTTGCTTTAGGACCAAAGAGAGTGTGTCTTATTTTCTTGCTTTAAAGTAATAAATCAAAATGCCAATTGATCACCACTTCCACAGTTTCTTATTTTTTGGGGGGGGGGGAAATCATTGCCCCCTAATCCTGCAAAAGGATCTGCACTGAGCCCCACTGAAGTCCTCTTCATGAGAACAAGGATCTGCCCACAGAGATCCAACTGGAGCCATGCATAGCACATGGGCCAAATCTGATGTCTTTATTCAATTTTGATTTGTGATCTGCTCAGTCAAAACTCTCGTTAAATTAAGGGGAGTTTGGACCAAATAGGGACTGACTGAAAACTGAACAAGGACTTCAGGTTTTGGAAGTGTCAGAAAAAAAAATTGAGTGGAAAATAATGAAGTGACTGGATCACTGCTTTTCATCTGGGGAAGGTTGTAGGCAGATAAGACTGCCACTTTGCAAGCATGTTTTTGATTACATTGTTTCTTTCAAGATGGGGTGCGAGCTAAAAGCATGAGATTTTCATGACGCACTTCTGTCTCCCTGCCAGACGTTCTGTCTGCTTTGAACACTGCACAGGTTTCCAGGGCACCAGTATTTCCTTAAAATGTATGGACTGGGAATTATGGTCATAATTTCCAATTAATGTTAATGGGAATTAAGGTAATTTTGAGAGAAGGATGTAATATTCTTCAGGTATAACACAGTTAAGAGTGAACGCATAGCAAACATTCAGTAGTGTTAAAGTCAAGGAAAGGGATTCTTTAAGAATGAATGAAACAATCTGGAACATGGCTGTCAAAAACCACATGATGCATTGAGCCAAACCCCGGTCCCAACAAAGTCAGTGGCAAAATGCCTGAAGCGAGGATTTTGGTCCTTTATGTTCTGCCATATATATATGTAGCCCCCCCTCCCCACCTCATTGTTACCTCAGAGTAATTCATCCTCTTTATAAACAAGCTGAAAAATCAAAAACCCCAGCTCTGAACCTAACCAATAGCTTTATGAGGGATTTGTCCATATGTAGGTGATACGGTACATGTTCTTAGCCCTCCCAGTGGTCCTGGAGCTTTTTCCAAAACATCCTTCTAATATCTTAGAATCTATCTGAAAGGTGGGGGTTTTGAAAAGCCATTGTTGGCCAAATTCTGCTCCTACTCCATTCACTGGGAGTTTCATCATTGATTTCAGTGGGAGCAGAGTGAGGCTAATATTGAGTACTTTGGAAAATCCCTCTCGCTATGCATAGGGATC